CCGTCATTGTTAACTTATGTCCATTCTTGGTGTCATAGGATCATCGTTGCACAAGGTGAAAGAAGGAAAACACAGAACACGTCTTCAACGCCCCAACAGCAGACGAATAAGCGAGCTGAGTAAATGATGAATTCTCATCCCCACCTTACCTCAACTACACTTCCGCAACTAAAGAGGAGGCCCGCCCCCCCACTTAGCGTTGATCAGCGATTGGTTATTTGTTAAACGTGCCAGGTCTGAGCTCCAGTCCGATTGGTCATAAGAAAACAGTCACTGCTACTGCCTTCAGAAAACCGTCACATCCCGGCAACAAAAAGGCAGCTAGAGTACTAATTGTTCAGTTACACCAATACAAACAAACAAAAAAAAAAAAGTAAAAAAACACACTACTCTGTTTTTCACGTATTTTAGCTTCAATGGTAAACATGTGTCCTGATGAGGTCATTATTATCTTGTTTTGGAGGTGTGTGGGTAAGAGGTTTCCATGACATGAAGCGGTACTCAGAATTATATGGGGAAAAGAAATTAAGAGAAAGCTAAAATGTCATAAAGAGTTGTCCCCAATAACGAACAATTGAGTGTTATTTAATTATGAGCAACTAAAAATGCTTTAACATTTTTATTTTTAAATGAAATCACAATGTTGCTGTACAGCTCAGCATCAGAAAATATATAATAATAATAATATAATCAAATATATAACCATGGTGCCATATTGTTATGTTGTAGTAAATTAGCTAAAAATATTTTCAGTTACATAGAAAGAGAATAAACATCACATTTCTTTGTGCACTTCCATTCCATATACATGACAATCCACTTGGCAGCAATATTTAAAAAATAGAAAACATCCACCAAAATAAATGTTTATCCCCACAACAAAATGTACATACCTAGAAAAAAACAACCATTCAGGCAGGGAAAAATGTTCACCAACTTAAACTGCACAGCCTCACAAATTTACAGAGAGAAGCAAGAGGAAGAGAGTGAGAGACAGAGATAAAGAGAGAGAGGCTTTCAGTCACTAAGTTTCTTGTCACAGTGAACAAGAACAAGAGCAGTGAGTATAAAGACAAATATCACTCTGTAATAATTGATCAATGGCATGTTACTAAATCTATACAATTAAGTCATTCAATGTCCAGTACACTTGTTGCCGATGTACCATCCTCATCGCATTCTGATTATGAACCTTATCAGAAGAAGTGATCCTTCTATGATATGATATGCTGATATGCTAAATGGCATATGGCTTCACAGGAATGTCAAAAAACAAAACAAAACAGATATTCTCTAAAATGTGCATAAAACAACTGGGAATTATTTTCAGAAACATCATTGAGTTATTCACAGACACATGAATAATTGCAGCAGACATTTCCTGCTTTGGTCTGTGGAATGGTCTCTATACAATTTATCAATAACAAACAAATGCATTTTAGAGTACTTTGTTTTCATAGCAGCATCAACAAGTTGGAAATGTCTATAAATCAAAGTGCAGAGGTCTTCTATCTCTTTGACATATCTTCTGTGAAAAGAATGTTCAGAATGTTTTGATCATCACGACTCAGGATGATTCCTCATCTTCATCAATGTAAGGGATGTCCAGGTCGTCAAAGCTCCCTCTGAGAGTCTTGCTGCTAGCCTGGGCCTTGTCTGCTGAGAAGGAATTGTCTTGACATGGCAGGGAGCATCTGGGTTGAGTCACACCTTGTCTTTGTCCCATTGTAACCTCTTCCTGTTCATCCTTCGACTGAGCCATCAGACTTCTGACCCTCTGTACCAGGTCAGGATGCTTCGGGAGGCTGTTGGTTTCCTGGGTTTTTGTGTGCGTGGTCAACTTTACTGGAAGTACCACCAGCAGAACAATTAAAATACTTCATCAGACATATGAAAAAGAAGTAAGTGTAAAAATAATGACATAATTAAAATACGATAATTATTTTGTAGTACAGGTCCCTCCCTCCGTCCTCTCTTTCTTTCTGCATCTTTATCATTACATGATAGAATATACTGTACACTGTAAGAGGTTGTGCTTCTATAATCTGATGACAGGTGAATGTTAACAAGTGAAGTATGATAACTGTGTTAAATAACAGCGGGTGAGTGCATAGATGGCTGTTCACAGAACCTGTACAGTACAGTGTTCACTGACTGACCACAGCTTCAGGTTCCTCTAACACCTTCCTGTTCCCTAACTATGACTAGAGAATAGAGAGCTAGAAATACAGGTGGTTACTCTAAAACATTTACAGACTTTGAATGAATACAAGCCAATGACGGTACTAATTACTCGTGCTCTTGCCAAACATGAAGACGGCATTTTTTAAATCACCGTTTCAAAGGTGCTTTAGGGTTTCTACCTAGAGATTGGTCTATCTTTGAGACTCACTTGATTTATGATACCTAAGTTGAGTTGTACACCCAAATGAATGATGAACAGAAACAAGATAAATTTAGACTTTTACAGAAAAAAGAAGTTGAAAGTACAGAAGTTCAGAGATCCAGAATGTACGACAAGACCCACGGAGGCAGAAAATAACTTTGAACAAGAGTGATTAGTCAGTCAGAATTGCTGTACTTTTGTTTGTTCAAGAGAATTAGAAAAATACCTGTATGATTTATTGCATTGAGACCTCAAAGAAACATTAAAATGGAAGGAAGGCTGACCTTTGACCTTCTTTCTGAGTGTAGTCCTTAAAAGAAAGTATAAACACCTACTTAAACCAGCATTGTTCTTGATAACATTACGTTTGCTAAGATTAGTTTTGTTTAATAACAGCTCCATTAATTACGGCTGTGTTAATTCGTGGCTTGTTTTATAAACCCAGAGGAAGGTGAAAATACCTTACCTACTGACCTTCTGAATCCAGGCTTCTGAGACGATCCTCCAGGCTCTCTGTGCTCATTGAAGATGAGGAGTCCAGGTTGTCATTGTCAGAGTGTTCCTGCTCCAGGTCAGGTAACCGGCAGGCCAAGTCCGCTCTGAAATGACACATGAGAGTCATATTCAAACACAGAGGTCTATTCAAAGTAGGCTTTTTCTGATACCACTGGTTTCATTTTCTGATGATAGCCAGTAGCGTCACTAATACTTCTTGAGGTTGGGTTTCAATAAATACGCAATGAACCAGAAGCGTGGTGTGCGCAGTGTTCGCAGTGTTCGCATGCTCAGCGGGGATGTTAAGCAGGGAAATGCTTACAGAAAGTGATATTTTTTCTTCATTAACAAAAGGCTGTTTCAATCCAAGACCAATAATGATTGATTGTCATCTCACTTTTCCTGCTTGATGGATTTGATTCTTTCTATGAGAGTCTTTTCCATGTCATCAGTGTGTATTTCCTCTGGAGCAGGCAGCTCTGAAGGTTTTTCAACAACCTGCACACAGATCAGAGGCCTGGTTTAATAAAGACAGCTGCAAAAATCAGGAGTTTGTTTTTACTTACATTTTTTTCCCACACAGACATATGCTAATTGTTTGTTTTAATTGTTAATGTTACAGAAAGATGAACAATAGAAACAACATTTGCCTTGTTTTGTTCACTCACAGTGTTCTGCCTTTTCAGTTTGAGCTGATTAACAGCCAGGGCTTCTGCATATTCCAACTCCTGGATATTCTGCATCTTCTCTGTGTAGCGCCTGAACTGTTCTGAGATCAGCGTTTCCACACAGCTGCAGAAAACAGTGCCACACATGACAACATCAGTTATCTATTGTAGATAAGTAAAATAATTTAAAACTGCTCTAGTGGCCATGTTTTAATAAGAAGTTAAAAAAAATTGTCCTTGTTTTTAAGCCGTATCTGAGATCGGTGTGCCTCACAGAAAAGACACTCTGTAGTTGCTTTACTGTCAAGTTACAGGGTACTTGCCGCACATCGACTTACACTGTAGCCTTGCCTACATCTTTCATTCCGAGGAAGGGGTCGTCCACATCAGGAGAACGTAGGATACAGGGAGCAAACACAATAGCCAGGGATCTTGGGGACATTTTATTGTGCTCTTCTTCTTTTGCAACCCTGAAACAAAAACTGACAGCTCAGGATCTCAGTGGAATTTTCACTCATGCCTTTTGCCGTACACACAGGTAGAAGCAAACAACACAATACCTGACAAGATGAAAGATGAGTCTTTCTAACGTGTTGTAATTAGAAGGCGGAAGTTCATCAACCTTTTGGTAGATAGCTCTGATTCGCTCCGACTTCTCTGGTAGCTCTTAATACACCAAAAATATAGTGAGGTCAGAAAATTGAAAAAAAAAAAAAAAGTGAATAATATTTTTTATGAGAAAATCCACAGCTGTGTCTAAGCTCTCAGAAACGACGTGTCGGTTCACATTGGTACCTGTCAACTAAAGTCATCAACATTTCAAAACACTACCACTGACACTCCTATGTATTAATTATACACTCATATACATACAATCAACTGAATTTTGATCTCTGCACCCAGTTCATCCACATTCTGAACATTACAGATCAGTTTGAGGACCAGATTTCTACATCAACACAGAACCTGATCGACACCAATAGGTGAAAAAAATCTGATACCAGTCACTTGTCTGAGTGTAACCAAAGATGTATTCTAACTTCAGTTGGACAGAGTCACAAAGTCATTCACAGCTACTTAATCCCTCAGTAAAGATCAAGACAAAGAGCAGCTTCTTTAACACGAGATCTTCTGGACTTCTCTTTTTTATGTTATTTAAAGCTAACTCACCTGCAGCGCGCAGAAAGTCGTTGTAGAGGGAAAACGTCATGAGGGGATCGGGCAGCTCCCTGAGCCATCGCTTGACCAGACCTGTGATAGTGTGGATGGGGTAGTTGTCCAAACACGAAGGCTCGGGATCTGACGTCAAAAAAATGTTAACTTGACTTTTGCATTAATGATAATGGAGGTAGAAATCCTGTCCTATTGACTTTTTCATGACAATACATTATGTTTTGACCATGGCTGTGAAATGATGACAATTTTGAAAAGATTAAAAGTGTCTTACTGGTCTCCAGAATCTGGTGAAGCTCCCTGGCTCGACAGGCTGATCCAGACTTGCGGTAAATGCCCTCGGTGTAGAGGCCGTGGAGCTCCACATGCATTAGCAACGTCTCCACCACCTTGGGCACAGTGTTGGCTTTGCTGGTGAGGACACACACCTGCACTCCAAAGTGAAGTGAGCCAGGTATGCTGTCATCCTACACAGAAACACAGCATGTGTTAAGAAGACAGAGCTGAAGAAAATGAAAGACTGCGATGGTAGAAGATGCAAAAACATCTCTGTCCTTACCAGCCTGGCACATCGCGTTGAACAATCTGTGATGATTTTCTTCAGGCATTTCTTGTGACATATTAACTTGCAAGCTTCGGGATACAGTTGAGACTTGGTTAAAATATATACTTACATACTATTTCTTTTTTTACAGTATAGTGAGTGTTATAGTCCTGAGAACGTACCACTGCACATGTAAGCCTTCTCCATTCCCCAGATGTAGGAGCCACACAGGTCACATGACTGCATGATGTTCACCTGATACGTACTGAAGAGGTGATCCAGAGGATTATCAAGCTGGAAATACAGGTAAAACAAGGTAAACAGACAGATATTTGGTATAGTCATCATAGTTCATCACAAGGGAGCAAAGAAGAAGTGCAGTATATGATAGAGAACATACACATTTGTCCTTTTTCCTCATTTTCTTTGTCACTTTAGTAGCCTGTAAGAAGACAGATGTGATAATGAAGCGATTCAATGTTTCACTCTGAACCTTCATTGCTTTAAATGTCTTTATTTACCTTCAATGGTTCAGACTCGAGCCGTTTGATTTCACCTCTAATGAAGCCGTCCAGCACGGACTGGAACAGATTGACGACCAGTGAGACTTCACCCTTCTGCTTCACTCCTGCCAGTGAGTTCACTGTGTTGTGGTAGCCCTGCATCAGACCTTTGTAGGCGATTCTGGGCTTCTGTTTAACAGCCAAGTACACACATAACACTTAGTTACTTGACATGTTTACAAGCAGTTTAATACAAGGCTTTCCAAGCATTACTGTAACATAACACAGTATAAAAAGGTCAAAATGGTAAATAACAGTGTTTGGTCAGGATTGAACCATCTCACCTCAACAAAGTACATTCCTTTGATGGTCTCCCTAAACTGCATGGTGGCAGTGAGGAAAATGCTCTCCGTGGGTGATAGCTCTTTTACCCTTGACTGCAAGTCGTTCACCTGATAGTAAAGTAAAAATATTCATGAAGTTATTCTATGATTTAATAAAAGTATAAATTAATAAATATAATAACACAATAAATATTTTATCATTGTAGTTACAACTGCTACCACAAAAGCCTTAAAAGAGAATATTCATATTCATATATATTGCTGCTGTTCTAAGTTTTTTCTTCATTTGGTAGAATTCTCACCTGATTACCGAGGAACTCATCCAGAAGCCGTAGTTCTTTGGGGTCGGTGATCTCTCGGTCCAGAGACGTATTCCACTCGATTGCTCGTGTGGCCCGACTGATTCGAATGGTCGGATTTCGGCTGGCCCTGCCAAGGCTTTGGTTCGCGTGATAGGCATTAGTACTGTACCTGGGTAAGGTGGCTGTAGGTGGTGTACAAAGAAGCAGCATTATTAGTCTAACACAATAGTTTTTACCAAAATGTAAATTTGGTTATTTTGGTTGATCTAAGAGATTTTTCTTTTTTGTTTTTAAATAAAAGAGTCATGAGATAAATGTGTCTTTCACTGTAGTAGTAGTAGTTGTTGGTGGAGACAAATCCTCTAGATGGCAGTGTGTTTATCACAGTTGAATGTTGGTAGTAAACAGGCAGGGTTTTAATACACACAACTGTCATTTTGTCTTTAATGGCTACCATCACCAAATAAAAACACCATATCCAGAGAATTACACTGAATCACAGATACATAAAAATATTCCTACCATAAATCATTTGGAAATATGTGATTACCTGATTTGTCTGTAGGAGAGTCATTGCTTGAAGAAATCTTAGCGCCACGTCTCCTTAAAAATTTGAACCAAATTCTGCATGTAGAGAAAAAGAGGGAAAGTGAGAGAGAGAGAGAGAGGGAGAAAGAGAGAGAGAGAATTTATTTCCAATACTGACAGGCTTACATCAGACAACAACACTGGTAAAAAAATATCTGAAAATCACTTCAACTCCTTGGAAAACTAAATGAAGAAAATTACCTCTCAGGAGTTGTGACGTGTGATTGGTTAGAGCTCTCGTGCCCCGAGTCCTCATTTGTTGACCTGGCTGGAAGGCTGAACCTTGACCCGTCAGGCTCTGCTGGTATCTGGAACAGAAACATGGGCTTAGGTTGAAGCATCAACAAATGAATGGCCAAGTAAATAACTGTCCCAGAGAACAGTAGAGTCACTGATGTTTCCCCGCCATGATCTTCCGCCGCAGGCAACCGCGAGCATTTTGCCCCACAGAGCTGCCCCAGCTCCACCACCACCAGCACCACAACCCACAACCATGTGTCTCAAGAGGTCTTCCACCATTTCATTGGTTGCAAAACAACACGTGCAACATCTGCTGCTGGTACCATCTCAACAGTGGTGTTAATATAATACTAGTTTGTTATGTTTGGATTACTTTTATTTCGTTTTAGCCATGAATATTTTTCCCATAATATGTTAGTGAGAAATTCACATACATTTTTATATATATATATATTTTAGAAAGTGATTAGTTTCAAATGAGTAGTTCAAAAGTGATTTATACCATCATCTGGTGAAAGGGTTATTTTTTTATCCACTAATATATCACCATGTAATAAAACCAATTTACCATAGGAAATACATGTTATAAGTTATTGAGATCACCATAACCTCATGTACCCAGTGCGGGTGAATAATTAATAAGTGAATACATTTTTACATAATCACATTTAATAATCATATAATGTTTACACTAATGTGTTAGTGTATTGAAACAGGCTAGTGACATACATATAGAACCTCCTTAAAGTTAAAGTCTAGTCTGCGTCTTTTTTTAAGGTCAAGCTCATTGAGCCAAAATAACAAAAAGTCAAAAATGAGTGTTGTAATTGCCTTTTCCACTGGTTTGGAGATAAACGCTAATGAAATGCTGAGAAGTAACGCGACAACATTCTTTGACACATCATCCAAAGGAAGCATCAACATGCATAACCTGCATGCAGAAAAGCGTCATCTTGGCCTGCATGTCCCCCTGGTCAGTACCTTGACCTGGGATTCGAAGGCCCGGACGTCCATACTACTGGCCGAGCTCTTCATGCTGGGCTTGTGGGGGCTCATGGGAGGCAGTGGAAAGCTCCAGTACTCGCTCTCCTTGGAGCCCCCAAAGTTCATCATCAAACCACTGCGGCCGTAGGCTAAACGCCGTTTGCGTCTCGGCTTTCTCCGGAGTTGCACCCTGACCTGATTGGGCCAGGAGAGGTGGTGAGGCAGAGGCTGGGAGGCCTTCTTTGTTACCACGTCATTGGTTACTATCCATTAATGGTTAGACTTACAGAAGGTCTTCATGTACAGTTAAACTTAGGTTGTCTTGTTGCTAAAAAAGGACACTCTACACACTATAATCAGGAGCAGAATAAAAGATCGACATAAAAGTAGTATACTTTGGCGGATGAATCATTAAGACAATTCTCACCTCATTGGCAGACGGTGAGCTGTCAGAGCCTGATGAACTGATTCTGGAGAGTTCATCTGCAGACATGGACTTCCCTTTACGGCTGTAGGACATTAAAAAGGTAAAAAACAAACAAACAACAATAATAAGTTATAAAATAACAAAAACTAAGACATTTTATAATATTACAAAACTAACAAATGAATTCAGACATTTTTTAATATTACAAAACTAACAAATGAATTCCGTGAATTAAGTTGTGGAATTAATTAACTATACTGCATATATGAGTGTGTGAAACACAGACGTGTACATAAATAATAGGGATTAATCCACAACTACCTTATGATTAATCAGAATGAAAACGTTTCAGAGTACATTTAGATGTTGAGAGTCACTCACTGAAACTCATCTTTCCTGTTGACTGTTGGTCGGAGTCTCTCTGGACTTGAATCATCTGTTGGGTCGCCCTCACTGTGCCTTTCTCTCCACTTCTCACCCTTTACCTTCACGCCCACAGTATCATTGAAGAGCTGAAGTGAGCTGCCATTTGAAGGGGCGGACGGTTGATTCTCACTGCCAACTTTGGGGCCCAGGGGAAAGGAGAGGGGTCTGTTCAGGGGCGGTGGGGATCCTCTACCGTCTCTCTTCTCCCTGCTGCGGTCCCTCGGTGTAGACTGCCTGTTTACCAAGTCCAACTGTTGGGGAGGGTTGGGGCTCACATCCACTTTGTGCTGCCTTTTTAATCCTTTTTTTGTCAGGCTGTCATTACAAAAAAATATGTTGGAGAAAAATCTGTTAACTTGTCCTAATAAAATAAAAATATAATTTGACTCTTTTGAGTCAAGCTTTCCAAATATTAGAGCATTGAGGTCTGTTGTTGTTAAACTGCCCTCATTACTATATCAAACTCTGTAGAATGACTTTTATTCCCTTTAAACAGAGAAAATACTACATAATATGTTTTTTGCGTTTGTGGAAGAAATCAAGTGTTCAAATGTCTCCTTAAATCCAAACTGTTGGAATATATATATTTAAATATTTTGTTGGAATCTGATGATCCCTGGGGAAAAGTGTTGAATTCCCCTAATATCTACCATGCTCACCTGTCTCTTCCTTGTCGGCTTGCAGATGACTCCTCATCCTGCTTATGTTCCTCACTCGACCTCTTCAGGGAGGTTCTCCAGGCCATCTGAATCACTGTAGCAGCTTGGTTCTGCTTCTCATAGAACTCACGCCAGCTTCGCTGAAACAACGTTATATGTTGATTTAATAAATGTTTTTGATTCCTAAACAGTCTTTTTCTTTTCATTGTGAAATTTACGCAACTCAAGAAATAACATATATATATTTTAAATACCTGTATGGTGACTGTGGCATCTTTTCTACGCAAAAACTGCGACCTTATCAGACAAGCACGAAACCAGCGCTGCAGAGTGATGATGTATCGCATCACCTCTTTGTTAAGAGTGTCTTGGAGCAGCTGCTTTCCTTCTGCCTTAAAGAACACCTAAATCGATCAAAGTGGCATTGTGTTGAACAATGATAGCTCTAGAATGTTAAAACAAACAAACCAAAAACAGCATATTCTCAAACATGGTGAATTTGATTAACCTTGTTTTTTCCAATCTGGTAGGTTCTTTTATCCAGCTCCAACTTCTCAAACAATTGTCTAATTTGTTCAGGAGTTGCAGTGGCCCCTTTTGGGAATAATATCCTGAACTTTGTCACAAATTCCTGTAATGAAGAACACAAAACATAACAGTATAAACTGATTTTTTTGGCAATTCCTTGTTGTCATTTAAACAGGTGTCATTTTTTATTCTATATTATCTTAATAATCTAAACATCTAAAAATCAAGTATAAATACCCGTGGAATTGAAATCTTACCAAGAAGGTGTACTTGTCTCTGTAGCCGGACCTCTGGACATGAACCATCCGCAGCATGTCCATTTGTCTGACTTGCTGTTGCACTAGATCATCATCAAAGTGAAGCTCCCGCTGTGAAAAGTAAAAGGTCTTAGTGAGGAACTGAGTTATTCTTCCCAAAAAGAAAAGACGTATTAATCAGGATAATGCCAAGGATATTTTCCAGGCGTCATTTTACCATTTCAGCATTTGAGCGAATACAGCAAATAAAGAGAGGCTCTGCTTTTTTAATTGTCTCAATCAGCCTTCTGAATGAGGACTGTGGAAGAAAGAAAATATGATTTTCTGTTGTTAAAAATGTTACACATTTACATTCAATGCACAGCTGTTTTTTCACATTCACTTCACATTCTTTTTACTTACTTACTTTTCTAGTATCAAATTATAAAATTGAAAGTAGATTAGAACACTTGCCAAGGATTAGAATTTCTGGGTTAAAAGGATAAAAAAAGAACCAACCTGGAACTGAGCACTAACTGACGATAGCTTCATTGTGCGTTGAGGGTGGAAGAAGGATTTGGTGGTTTGATCATGTGCAGTGAGACCAACAATATGTTGAAGTGAGCGCAGGTCCATTAAGTTCTGTTTACGACATGAGTAACAAGATACTTCTTAAATGTTTACATCTTTAAACCTGAAAGAAATGAATCTTCACACTGCGTAACTGTCACTTTACCTTTGGAATTAACTGCTTCTGTCGACCACCTCTGCTTTTCCTGTAGGTAACAGTCAAAACAAGTCAACAGGCTGGAATAACTGAAAAAGGATCAGGGGATCGTGATCGTGACCGTGACTGCATTCTCACTTTCTCCTTTCATAACTGGCAAATATATCCTCAAATACGTCAAGCGGATGTTCATCAGAGCGATCAAAGGAGAAATCCAGAGTGAGGCTGTTGCTGTGAAGACAAAAGGCAGACTGTTAATCCTTTGATCCTTTGATCCTTTGATTGTGCACAATGTGTTTTTTTTCAAATATTTGTGATTTGATTTCATGCAAGTCTTTATATTTATATTATATTTATATTATGAAAACAGAATAATTTTATTCATTCATTACTTATTAAATTATTTATTATATATTATGTTTATTTATGCAATAAAATTTCTGTTTTGTGTTTTTAAAACAAGATCAACGAACTGAAGACCCAGTGGTTGTTGTTAAGTTCAACCTTAACCTTAACCTTAGTCAGGATGTTTGAAAAAATCAAATAGAAATGCTAGTGTTTGGTAGATGTACCTGGATAATCGGTCCAAAGCACTGCTCCGCTGCTTCAGCTCTTTCAGCGATTTGCGAGAGCTCCGTCTGTCAGCCACTGTAGGGACAACACAGCAGTGATCATGAGTTGTTATCAGCCAACAGCAGCTGTAGAATACAGCGGCTGAGTGGCTCATTCAGAAGAATATGTCTTCAAATCGTCCAAGCATAAAAAAACGCCAGGAGACCCGACCAAGGCTACATACGTAATTGTGCCCGCTGTCGTCCCATGTGTTTGAATACAGCGAGAATGTGAATGGTGGCTCTGAGGACTCCCCATCTGAACAGCGCCTGTGGGCTGGCAGTGACCAGGTGATGCAAGAAAGTCAGCTTGCTGCTCCGTAGCAGGGATACGACCTCAGGACGCATGTGCTCCACATTTTTGTCCATGAAATCCTGAAAAAGAACAACAATCATGATTCATAATCTATGCATTTTGCGAGGTTCCACATTCCTCGCATGTATAGTGTGTTTTGTTTGGGAGGCAGTCGTACTAATCATTCACTAAACCCGCATAGATGTCCTGGGTTTTCCCACACAGCTTTATCTAACAAGGTCAATGAAGGTTAACAGTCTTTTGCAGGGCAATGACAGATAGGAGGTTTGTTGGAGACATAGTAATTCATGCCACAGAATGTGTGGGTGTTTGTGGTGTTAGAATAATACTCAACCTTGATGTGATACTCAACACTCCCGGCAAAGTGTTGGATGGTGAAAGTCGGCTTTGTTTTGGGAGATGGTACAAAGAGTGGGTTGTCCCGATGCTGCTGATTGAGTCTGTCCAGCAGAGTTTCATCTGTGGCCTCAGGGAGGCTTAGGAAACACAGAGGGAAGAAGACCCTGATGTTAACATGTGATACCAGGGGAGGAAGTTCATTCAAAAAAAGGCTGAGAAACTAAGATCATATTTGTGCTTTACACAGTTTTTTTCCTTATCATAAATATTTTTTTAACGTCAATGAATTATGTATAGTGTATAATATAATACCATATTAACAAACAGATTACAAACATGTAAAAATCTCAAAATAGGTTGACGACTTCATGACAATACTACAATACTATAACTGATACGACATTATATACAATCCGACTTCATGACAATACTAAATATACCTGATACGACATTGTATACAATCAACCCCTTTGATTTTTAAAAATCCATTTGAAATGCTCTGTGTGATGGACGCAGGTGAAGTTGACACACTTGCTCTCGATGTCCAACAGGTCAAAGACGCCGGTTGTTTTCCCACTAATCAGCTGAATGCAGTCACTGTTATCATTGTAGTCAACAGTTTGCCAAGCGATGCCTTCTGACACATAGTCTTCCTGGGATTAATTCAAACACAATGACATTGTTACTGGGGTAACGTATAATTTGGACATTTAGGCAATTAGACAGCAGACAACAATTATTATGATTATTATTATTATTGCATTATCAAAAATGAATAAAAAGTGGAATGTTTATGACTGAAGGGCAAACACTTACTTGCTGTTTCTTGAAAATGTGATGTTTGATGTAAAACTGCAGTTTCTCATTAGCGTAATTGATGCACAGCTGCTCAAAACTGTTTATCTGCAGGTTCTCGAATCCAAACATATCCAACACGCCGATGGACAAACACTGCACCCAAACAGCAGACAAAATAACACGGTTACAGCATAGTGACAGCATCGGTACAGTGACACACTTTTTGCCTTTGTTATTAGACAAGACAGAAGACGGTGAAAAGAGTGTGACGGGAGAACCATTGTTATCCAAGTTAAAACATACAGAGACTGAGTCCTCCATGTCTCGTCGGTTGAACATAGCATGGTTGATGTGGAGGATGATCCAGTCGAACAGAGCCGAGTACAACGACTTGGCCATGGAGTCCCGCATTTTAGTGGCCTGTGTTCAGAGAACAAGGGGAAAAAAAAGTTCAAGAAAGTGATTTAAGATAAACTTTGGGTTTAATCCAAAAAATAACTATATATTGTAATTCTGAATTAAATGTTTATTTTCCAGTATTTGAACCATCTACATCTGGTATATTTCTTCATTACCTTTTGTAGTGTGTATTGAGACTCAGTGGTTGCGTTGCGTGTCACTGTTTTCCTCGTGGTCAAAGCTTTCACTAACATTTCATTTTTCACCTAGAAATAAGAAAAATCATAAAGAAATAAACCCAAACATTAGAAACATAAATAGATGAAGAGGTTGATGAAGTGAAGGTCATGTGGTCACTGGACATGATGGCTGTTTGGTGTAGAAAAGAACAGTGTAACTTTGGTGAAAACAAACCTTACATGCCTTTGTCAGACACTCACTGGACATGATGGCTGTTTGGTCTAGAAAAGAGCAGTGTAACTTTGGTGAAAACAAACCTTGAGCAGGTCGCAAAGTGTCGACAGTACATCAGGAGGTCCGACCCCCAGGGCTTGACCCTCCTCTGTGATTGTCACATTGCCCAGATGGAGAATGGCAGAGAGGATGGAAAATATGCTGTATGGAGAACACAGACCCACAGAGACACATGTACACATCAGACATACAGCACAATGTTCTAGTGGGGGTCGCAGCCCTGTCTCAGGGAAGCAGCTGTTGGAACAGTTGCAACAGTTGCAACAGTTGGGTGGCAGTTACAGTGCTTTGAATTAAGTTTAACTGAGGTTTAAAGCAATAGTTCTGAATGTGTCCATGACAGGAGGTTTGTCCTTGCTACAAAATGGGTCAGGGGGCCGGGGGCTGCAGCAGGAACAGTACGGACTACACCGATGTCAGGGACGTTAACATTTTGATCCTGCCGACTGATTCTGAATCTGTTTCGTTGTCTTGGATTGTCATCTACAAGAACGCAAAAGTCGAGTTTTAACCAATCATGTTATGTTTATAATTTCTTTTACAGTGTGCAAAAACATCTGCCCAGGCTCTGCAGGACAGGTGTTTGCTGATGAACAGATTAAAAACGTGCGCTGCCTGAGCTTCTCTGTGCATGTCGTGTCCCAGGGCCGTCAGGCAGGTGCTAACAAACTCACTGCATTTCTTTCCAGTTTGACTGGACATGCTGTGGCATGTCACTAAAATGCACAGAGAAAGAAGAAGCTCTTTTTTTTCCTTTAACAACGTTCAGTTAGGTTTCACAACAGACTGTCTTCCTGTAGTTTTGGATTTGAACATTTACATTAACAGGACATGGATTTGGTCAAACTGAAGAGAGCTGCTGACGTAATAACATTTCTGTAATTCACGAGGAGAGAGCGGATCCGAAACTGAGACAAACAGTAGGAGTTTTTAAAGTTCATCATGGATGAAAAAGATCTTTGTGTAAACATTCATTACTTTCAAACATTAAGGACCAATCAGCTGCAGCTAATACCAACTGAACGCCCAGTCATCCTTAACACACTTCTTTTGAGAATTTATTTTCCACATGTTTTTTGATACTATATAAATGACTCATTAAATCCAGTTGTTTGCCTCCAAACTGCTGTTTTGACTCACAATAACCATAGTTACCGTTTCTTGGTGGAAGCCAGGAAACCGACCATTTCCATTGCTTGCTGTAGCCTTTTGTATGCCTGCCTAAGTTTTTCCTCATCATCTACGTGGAGGTCCTGCTGCAGAACGAACAAGAAAAAAGACATTAAATATCACCATTGAAAAACTGTCCTGAATGTCCAAATAATAGATAGGAAATAACAACAGAATAACAATATTATAAATAGTAATTATTTTTTCTACTGTGACTATTGCATATACAATGTCTGCAAAAAGAATCCCCGGACACTTCCAACCTAACAGTTTTATATCTGTATCATTGTACAGTAGATGTGGCTGCAGCCTGGATGCTCTTTTGACGTGGGATACAAATGTCTAGAATGATTCTAGTTTTCATAAAACCTACAATTTACTCTTAATAGTTTTTACAGTTGACCTGTTTCTAAACATCAGTTGACAGGTGATTCAACAATGTAAAGCCTGTAGATTAGTTACCTGTTTGAGGTAGAGTAATTTACTCTTAATAGTTTTTACAGATGACCTGTTTCTAGTAGATTAGTTACCTGTTTGAGGTAGAGATAATCCTGTGGCTTCAAGAGATGAAACGCCTCCTGTTCGTCTTGGCACGCTCCCGCCAGCAGATAGTAGAAGACGTGGTAGTTCCTGCAGGTCAGAGGTCAAAGGGTAAACATATACAGTACAGTGCATTAGCTGTGTTATTGTGTAACAGTACATCAAGTTTAAAGATGTTTTATTTTATTTATTTCATTTCATTTTTTACCTTTCTCTTTTATGTCTAGAAACCAGTCGGGACTTTTCCAGGAGGTATTTCTCTACGGTTGCCCTGCAGAAACAAGCAAAAAAGGAGTGTCAACAAAAGTTTCGAGGATGTGGTGGTGAAGTTATAAACACGGACCACGCAGCCGTACCCTCTGATGACGCCGTTCTCCAGATAGTTGAGCTGAATGAACTTCCCAAAGCGGCTGGAGTTGTTATTGTCTGCAGTCATAGCATTGCCAAAAGCCTGTTTAAAACACAGGAAATGTGATTTGAATAGTCTGCGATAAACACAACTGACAGCGTGTTTATCACAGGCCCGGGAACCGAGACTTTAACACTGCAAAGGTCTGCAGCACAAGGAGACCAGACCAGATAAATCAGTTCGTTTGTACATGGCATGGCTTCTATAAGCAAACGTAACATTTTACTCATACTCCAAACCGTTTACTTGTGTCATATTTGCACAGATATATTTGTATTTTGATGATTCAGTTTGTAGCAGAGCAGGAACAAAATGTGAACTGTAAATATAATCAGGATTTTCTTTTCTCCAGAGTGTGGAAACATCTGCCACGGTAACCAGGTTTCCCACAGTGTTAATAAACTATTTATCAGGCAGGGTTGTACTGCAAGTCAAAGGTTACACTGGATTGCAGTAGCATGACAATGTTTTTGGCTTGAAAAAGCTTTTTCAGTCTCCACGGGGTTAACAAGCCTTGTCTCACTGTGGACTTTTTTTTTTGCATGTCTAAAAAGAAGAATAACTGACATGCTGTAAGCTGACAGTGAGTTAATAGTTAACTAGCTCTAAATACCAAAACACCTTTTGGAATCCACGTATTACTATGTCGTACATTTGGTTACGACGGTTCACTTTCAAAATCTGCAGCGTAATATCATCTTCAGCAATGCAGTCGGACCAGGAGACCTAATTTAGTGGAGGCTTCAACTTCAGCTCTGATCCTCTGGATCAGTGACTGTGTCGGACCAGTCTCACTGAGTGCAGCGCAGTCAGTAGGTCAACAACTGACAAGCCGACTGACACGACTGTCACATAATAATGTTGGCGACAACTGCTTGACAGATGTTTGAAATTAGCCTAAAATAATTTTAAAATAATCTCTTTCACCAGCGTCAAAATACACAGTAATGGCTACAATCCATCAAGTCTGTGAAGCAACGTTTTTGTTGCCTAAAAAAGCCTAATGAATTTTCTAACACAAAATTCCAAACTGAACCCAGCTCAGCTCTGCTCTTCGTTCCGTGAGGTCATGCCTAAACATGTCAGAGTAACGCCACAGTCAGTGAGAGAGCCCAGCACGCTGTACTGAACACATACCAGCAGGTGAACCACCAGGATGTTCTTTTTAAACAGACTGAGAATACTCAGTGAAGGGTAATGTCATGTTTTGATTTTGAATTCCACTGATTAAGGTTATCATCAGTTGAAACATGACAAGAATGTGGAGAAAACTTAGAGGAGGTTTTCTGGGCAGGACAGAAACAGGTGGTTGCCGTGTCCCAGTTTCAGTTCAAGCCTATGACGGACAGAAATACAAACAAAATTTGTGTTAGAAATTTCACTGATCATACAACCAGTAAAGATAAGGATTTTTTTTAAATAGTGACCACCGCAGTGATAGTCATATTGATATATACTGTATATAAATCACTACAAAAGTGAATTGTTGTTAACAAGGAGAAGACAGTGTCTTGACTGGATAATAGGTCTACAATAATAATAGATGCTCTTCTCATACCCAAACCTTTTAACCTTTAACCTTTAGGATCGTCCCAGACTCCGTCTCTCTGACACTTTCAGTATGACTTTGCTTCTGTCATTACTGCTTTGCTTTCTCCATCATTGTTTCTGCTAAAAAGGCATAAAATTCAAATGCAGAACAAACGTGCAGCCTCGACTTCTGCTTTCCATCGGAATTTCCAACAGTGAGATTATTCCCATCTTTTTATTACGACACAAAAGGAAGCAGGCAGTCTCACGTGGACGTGCAGAGACCTGCTGTAGCTGATGTACTATTTTAACCACGTCTTTAGTTCCAACCACTGAGTAATGACACTTTCAAATAGAAGCTTGTACGTAGAAGGTGTCCCTCCCGCCCCCATGTTCTTCACGTCTTGTAATGACTCACATTAATATCAATAACACACACACACACACACACACACACACACACACACAAAGAGACCTTTCACCATAGACAGGACATGTTTTTTCCAGTTATCAATCCTGATCTACACGTGATACTTCCAGGGAATTTTGATCATGAAATTGCAGGATGCTGAAGGCTGTGCTTTGTTTTCAAAATGACAGAATAACAGCACAGAACAGCATATGATCTTTTCAGGAAAGAGAGAAACCAAAAGAGAAAGAGAAAAACACACACACACACTCAGACACACACTCAGACTGTTTTTTTTTTCCAGCAGACCTGCTGAGCCTGTTTTAACACGTTCCTATTTCTCTTTCTGCTCCCACAGACAACGCCCTTCACATTCCCCACGGGGAGCTCGACACCCAGCCTCCTGATCAGCAACTAACCACCAGCATCAACTATATAATCATTTAGCAACATGACCCGGTCAAAAAATGAACTAGCCTGCTGCATCATTTGTTCCATTAATTGCCTCAAACACATCTGTTCATGACAATATATCCTGGCCTCTGGAGATCGGTACCAACATTAGAACAGTTCACGGTGAAGTAAAGAAAACAGGTTTAAAATAACTTCTACAACCAGTTAGTCTAAGAGGAGCTGTTGCAGGACGATGCCTCAGTTTTCGGTCTCTCTGCTCAATGTCCTTCAACGTCCTAAGTCCTAAGAACAATATTGTCTCAGGAAAATCGATGTTCACTTATACTTTTCATCTAACTTGGTTTCAGGTCAGCTTTGTCAGGTCAGCTCAGAGGGGTTTTCTAATGGACATTTAAAATATAAAGAAGAAACCTAAATGATTTGCTGGGACTTGGAGTGTATTGTTGATGTTTTTGCCAATGGTTGCTCCACAGAGATGTCAGCAACATTGTCATTAATTTAGTCAACTAATGCAGACACGCTCAGAGGTAATAATTTTCATGTTTTTTGCAATTCAAATGACTCATTATAGGACAACAATGCATTCTCTTCATTGTGACAGCTCACCTCTGCACACCACGAAATGTGACCTCTGACTCTAACCCATCACCTTAGAGAGCAGAGGGCACCTCAAGCCATGAACCTCAGTGGCACCTGGTGGAGTCGTACCTGCGACCTTCCAGACCCAAGTCGCTTCTTTAACCCTCAGGCCACCACTGCCCCTACTGATATCAGTCTGATACCTGATTTTCTACTCCTGCATGTTGAGGTTGATAGTGTCCCTGTGTGAAGCATGTTGTGCAAAGTTAAATTGAGCATTTTGGCATCGCGGAAGTATCGGATCGGAGCGGAAGAGCTTTAGTTGTTTGTTTTTTTCAATGTTGGTCCCTCAGTATGGAGTCGAGCCATCCCTGGTTAAAACCTGAAAAAACAGTTGCGTAACTCACTCTCTCTATGAATATTTGAATGATATTAAATGTAGCACTGAGAAAAAAACTTATTCAGAACAGTGATTATGGCAAATCACAAGTGAAACATGTACTGTGAAGTGAATAGTTGTAGAAGCTGCGTGAAAGACTTAAAAACTATAGATATTGATGCATGTGTAATTTGATCCAGATGACAAAATACTAGAAAACTGAGACTGTTTTTTGCCACTGGTTCAGACAGGTACCATCCTTACCTCAAGCACTGGTCCTGCCCCGAGGATGGTTCTCTCCAGGCCTGTGGAGTAGGACTTCTGACTGAGTGCAGTGAGACAGTGGATGAGATAGCTGCTGCTTTCAGTCTTCCCTGAGCCACTCTCCCCACATATAACAATACACTGGTTAATCTGCCGGTTGAGCATTGAACGAAAGGCCACGTCTGCTATTGCAAATATGTGGGGGCTGAGTTTGCCCAGTGGCTGATTATCATACATCTTCACGTACTTGGGGTTGTAGTAAACAGGCAGATACTTATTGGGATTGATGGCGACGAGGATGTTACTGATGTAGGTGTAGATTTTAAGTCTGTAGAAACGCTGGCGTAAAGTCTCTAGGATGCTCTCCTCAGTCACAGTCTGGAGGTTACACAGGTCATCATATTCTTCACTGTTCTCTCCTGTGTCCTCTCTGTTAATGCCCTGCTGCTGGAGAATGAAGTGGTACCCCTGACCCCGGGGATGCCACCTCTGCGCTTCTGGTGGCCACAGCAGAACACGCATCAGCGGTGAGTCACCGTCGTCCAGCGGCTGCTCTTTCTCATGACACTTCCTCACCTCCAGCAACGTGTACTTCTGGCAAGGTTCTAGTCCCAAAGTGACCACGGCGTTGTGGATAACCGACTGTGCTGTATCCCTGGCGCTGACCTGCAGGGGACAGTAGGTAGCTGTGTCCTGGGACACCCTGGGATAGATCTGCACGACACGGTCCTTTCCATTTCGGTCAGAGGCCCTGGCTCCATCCATCATGCTTGTTCTGATGTACGAAGGCAGCCTTCAGCATTACTCACTGATCCAAATCTCTGCCTCCACCCACTAGAACGAAACCAGAACAGGTCGGGACCTAGTTAAGTTCTTATTATGGAGACTGAAGGAGACTCATAACAGTATAGAAGAATGTGTACATGCAGTATATTCAGTTCAAGACATGTCCATCACCAATATCAACATGTGTCATGGATTAAACGTAGGGGTAAGGTTAAGGTAAGGTTTTTTATATTATCTACTAACTGACAGAATAAAGTACCAAATCTGGACCCCCAACACTCCAGTACTAAGACACTGCACTAGCTAAAACCATCATCTTGTACATAATGTATGGGACTTTCCATTCAAGCCCAACTTATTAACATTTTGAAAATACTGTACTGTATGATGGGACAGAATGTTTAGATGACATTACATTTAAGTCTCTCACACACAAACACACACGGGAATCACCCTCATCTCTTCATACCACCGTTAAACTTCCACATGTAAGAAAACCACACGATTAAATTATGACGATCAGTAACAACTCACATTCGAAACACAACGGCTCACTCCATTCTTAAATCCGTGCAGTGTGTTGACAGAACGACTGGTCACCTCCAGCAGACAGCGTCCAATCCTTAACACGTCAGAGGTGGAAAAAAAGTCCTCACCTGAGCTTCCCTGTAAACATCTACAAAGGTGACTTCCAAATGGTTCCCGAGCGCAAAAGTAACTAAGTTATTTGTCGGTGTTAAAATGGGACAATAACGGTGGAAATTCACTGTTGTGTTTAAAATATCAATGCCTCTAACGTTTCCTTCTCCTGTCTCCTACGCTGGCGAAAAGTTAAGCTCGAAAGTACTTCCTAGATACACACACGCGTAGACACACGCACACGCCTCTCTATACTTGTCGACTCTTTAATATTTTTATATTTAATGAGAAAATGTTTCAAGACAGAATTTAGAATTCTAAATGATTTCTTACTATGAACTCAGATATTTTTATTTATTAAATTTAAATTTAAAATTTAAAAGAGGAAGTGCCTGTTCTGACTTAAATCTAAGACTTCCTTCCTTATTCTTTAAAATTGCAACAATAAGAATAAATCCGGGAATTCCAGGGACTCCTCAGACCTGGTGACATATTTCCAATTTTCACATTTTCTAGATGATTTTTTCCCCCTCACTTAAAATAGTTTTTTGTGCCAAAAGAACTGTTTTTTGAACTGATGTTTTTTTTTACAAATATATAAATCTTATAATGAAAATATCAATATAATAAACATACTCACGAAAACGTTTAGGGAAATTAAATAAACACAGCCATACCACTATTTGGGTCAAATACGCTGGAGGCGCCCTCTTCCTGAGATTCTAGGTATAACAGCAGTTGTAAAGCAAACCTGAGAAACGTATTGTCCGTCTACGCCCTCTTGTGGACAATACTGGAACAGGTAGGATGTGAAAGGTTGAAAATATTAAAATATTATGAATAATAAATAATAAATAATATAATTTCCACACATTTGCAGTAGACAAAACACAATATTTTAAGAAAAAAATTAGACAAGGTTTAAAATTGCATTTGCAGTTTTAATAACTAAATTTCAATATTGATTCTAAATATTTTTAGTATCATTCTTTGCATGTCAAAAGATAATAACTAGTCTCACACTGGCTAATAAACCTTGAGCATATGCCTTAAGTTAACACAGTAAAGTTAACATGAAGGTATTTCTTTTATTAGCATTAACATTTTTTTTACCTGATCTAAGTTGACAGTACTGCTGCCGACAGTCAAAGGCAAATGTCACTTAACAGAAGAAATCCAAAAATCACATGACGACGATCACATGACGTCCATTTTTTTTTCTCGTGCTAATGCAGTGTCTGTCCATTCAGGTGTATAATGACTGCAGATGCACTGGTGCAGAGCCAGTGTTTCCTGAATTGGTTAAAATAAAAATCTCGCTGACACTTTGACAGCTTATTATAGTGTGAGCAATGAAGAAGTGCAATGCAGAGCAATACTCAGCACAAATCAGCTGCTGCTGCTAATAAGGAGCGCACGCCCACACAGGAGGACAAATTAGGACATGCACACACAAACAGCCACACGAAAACGTCATATATTTCTGTCAACACTGTAAACTAACACATTCTGCAGGAGTGCTGTGATATCAACACCTGTGGTCATTTCAGTTTGGTCTCACACAACAATTTTGTCCCTGCTATTGTTGATGATGTCATATTGGATGTCACTCTTGTTCCTGCTGGACTGAGCCAGTTCTGCAAAGACACACTGATTCCAGTTCAGTAGGCACCAGAGTACACAACCTGAAGTGATGTATCTGTTAAATAAATCTTTATAATTCTTCACTCAAATCAAATGAACTCAAGCCAAAACCCTTCATCCTTTCCTCACCCCCGTCTCAGGGTGAGATCAGCCGAGATTAGCCGATAGGCTGTTACTCATTCTTTCATGTCAGACACTGAACTTAGCCACTGTGAACAATTTCTGTTTGGTTTAATGCTCACTAATGAGCTAAGTTCTGCATCTTCAGAAAAGTCATCACACAGTGGCCCCCGCGGTGGGATGTATAAGCTATTCTGCAAAAAAAAAAGGAAAAAAGATTGTTAAAATCATACAGATTTTTAACAATGATCAAAGGTGGAGTGGAAATCGCAGTGACACTCATTATAATAAGGGTAATAATGTTTATCCATGTGGGAAGTTCTGTTCCACCGCAGACACAGAGATCATTAAACAGGAAAATTCTGGGACTTTGCAGAAAACAAACAGTTTTCATCAATTATATACAGTACTGTTCAGTAGTTATGAGTGTGGAATGTGTAAAGTCATTAGTGTGCATGTCAGACCAACTCTTTATTCTAACTTCTATATTGATTTTTCATCTTCAATCCTGAAAAAAAATAATTATTTATTGTCATTGCACCACGGGGATACAACAAAACTGAGCTTCTGCTTTGATACCTATCATATACAAAGTATTGTATATAAGTAAGACAATATACTATATGATACTGTACTAATACTAGAAGTATTATTTAAATACTTATTATATATATATTTTGCAATACTTTAGTATCACACAAACCCATTAAACCATACTCTTGACTCTTGACTTCATCCTCAGGTATAAGACAAACACACAATGTCAAAAACAAAACAAAAAACCTAATTATATCTGACTTTCTTTGAGCTGCACAAACAGACAACCACAACAAGCAACTACTTTGAAGCCTTTGAAAAAAAAAACACTGGTGAGTGATAGAAATGTTTCACAGACAGTGGACGGTCAGCGGACGGTCAGTGGACGGTCAGCGTGGCCTTAATGTAAAGCCCTGATAGAGCAGCAGTAAACAGCACCACAGGAAGATGTTTTATCACCAGTTCCAGTATCAACTTTCTCTCTTCACGCAGTGGCTGCCTTCTCCCTCCTACCTTGGCTCTGAGGAGGTTCTACTTGCATCATTTGTACTCACAATTTGCCTGAGCCTTAGGACACAGGCTCAGTTTTCAGAACAAACTATTTGTCCATTAGAGCGCTGGTTGTGTGACATCAAACCTCAGGGAAAAACAAATATAACCTCCTTGTGAATACTTAACCAACCTGCATCAACTACTGTGTGTGTGTCTGTGTGTGTTCTGCATTCTTTCTCACCAGACTTAGTAAGAACCACAGGCTTGGCTTCATATAATTATCCCCAGCATTCTCTTGGCACTGATTTGACCTGAAGTAACAACGAAGTAACAAACAGTTCTAAAAGGAAGAAGTCCCTGGTTTCTGTTTTACTTCTTATTTCTTCCTGCTTACTTGAATAAACACTCTCAGACAACGCTGTCCTTAAATGGTTCGAGATGGTTCGGTTTCAAGGGTATCGGTGTCCAAGTGAAGTTACCTGAGCTCTGTTGCCATTATGTCATTTTTCACCCTGCTCCCAGAGAAGAAAAGGCAGCTACAGCCTTTGTCGCCCTGCCACCGCGTCCTCCTCTGTGGAGAAGAAGAAGAAGTTTGATGATCCATCTTTGGATTAAACAAAGCTCCTGCTATTATCTTCACTCTTTTCAGGGTTTCTTTGGATTAGACGAAGGAATTCCCCTGTTGGATAGAGAATCATGACTCCTGGCTGAGAGGTGAAGGAACACAGTGTCAGACAGAAAATAAAGACAGAGACGGACATTTGTTCAGTCAGTAGTCCTGCATTAAAAACACACTTTTCCACACACTTTTAACTTGATATTTAAAAAAATAATTTTAATACATGCAGAAGTGTTTTGTTGCCCATAGATTTATCTAATGTCATCCTTTTAGATGCACGAGGTTGTTGGAGGAAGTGATGCTTAACTCACCCGTCTGTGATCAACAGCAGCTGCAGACGAGAGCAGCAGAAAATATCCCTCAAAGTCGACCGCTCCTCGACGGTTTCCCCGTGTTCTCTGGCACAGACTGAGCGAGACGGTGCGGCTCTCCGCTCCTGCAGCTCGCTGTGAGAGAGTGAGGGTGTGAACATGTGTGACAAGAGAGGAGGCACAAAGGAGGAGGGAAGAGGAGAAGGAAAACAAGAGGGAGGCACTGGGAGGGAGGAAAGAAGGAAGGAAAGAAGCTAAGGATGAGGAGGATCGGACAGGTGTGGAATTTATACGGCAGTCTGTCTGGAAGGGTTGGCTCGTCGGCTGTAACATAACATGAGGACACACTGTTCTGAATGACATGTAATTACAAAAGGTAAAAAAGATAAGGAACCATAAACTGAAATAGAAATGTATGTAGAAGGTTTTATTAAGTTTAGACTTTTACTATAGGTTTTAATTTTTTTTTTTTTTTGAAAGTGTACATGTTGTTTTGTTTCATTGTTTCAGGTTTAGGTTTTGACCCCTGAACTCTAAGTGTGGTAAACAATAACCTGAAAGCCAAAGTAAAATAAAGAGGAAATCTGAGCACCAAAAACAACCTCATTAATCACGTGGAAGACCCCGAGGAAGAGCTCAGTCCAGTCTGGACTATTTGTTTACCGTCCACTTATTTCCCACGTTATAATTTTATTATTTCACTCATCAGCTTGCATGAAAAATATTCACTTAAACGCGTACAGAATGATACAATTCCCATGATTCTGTCCTACAGAGACACCAGTGGACGCCACTACTACGACCTCCTAAGTCTGTTAAGAGACCCCTGATCTACACCAAACCCAGCTGTAACAAAGCAGAGGAGATGAAAACATTTCACCCTCCACCACACCAGGGTCTTCATCATGTCACTTAGCTCAGCCCACGCTCCACACACAGTCTGCCCGCTCTCCATCAGCCGGATTGTTTTGATTCGACGTCTGAAACCGGAGACGCGGTGCTTCCATACATGGCTGCTACGTGTCAGTGTCCTTCGGCAGAAAGAAATAAGACAGGGAGGCAACCACTTGATTTTTTTTTTTTTTTTTTCCTCTGTGGCCTTTTAAGAGCACTCTGCAGCCGACTCTTCTCTGGCCCCTAATGTACGCGGTCCATTTAGCAAGGCAGAGCTGTGAAACCCAAGATCACAGGCATGGCCTCAAACAATTTCACCCTCTGATTGAGCCAATATCCAGTTCACACCGTAAAAAGGGGAATCAGGTACGTTTGACTGTGAAATACAGCAGATCTAAATTAAAAAAAAAAAAAAACTTGCAACAAATTTGTATCTGTGTTTTCTTTTTTTAAAAATCCAAGACATAGATCAATATTTTTTCATTTCCTTGTATCTGTGTTTTCTTTTTTTAAAAAACCGAGACATAGATCAATATTTTTTCATTTCCTTTTCAGTCTTTCTTGGAACTTAATTGGACTTAGTTCTCTATAGGAGCTGAATTGTTTTAGACTATTTTTTAACAACTATATTTCTCTGTAGTCAGTGTTTGGGAGAAACCTTTTGTCCTTAGCGCAAAGATCTAAGGAGGCTTCTGTATGAAACCAGATCTGGTTCAGAGCGATGGGCAACACATGGCAGGGAGTCTGACATGCATTAGTGGAGGCTAATGGGCAAACTGGCTCCGATAGGCCTGATTGTCCATTATGTGTCTGCACTGGAAGAGTAAACTGTTATGTGAAGCAGAACGACGTCTCGTTGATCGGCAGATTGATTTTCATTTTCTTTTTATATTGTATTTTTTAACAAATAAGCAGCCATTTAAACAGCAGGATGAGGTCAGGAGTGCAGGGTTTTTTTGAGTGGTCTTTGTCAGAGTCTTTGTCTTCTGCAGAGAATCAAACGACCTTCTCTGATCACAAAATGAGGTGACATTATTCTGTCATCTGTCTCAGGGCTTTTTTTTAGACACTACAGTCTCAGTGGACATTTTCGATGCAGCAGCTGACTATGTCCATCATGTGAGTGTGGCATTTCTCATCTAGACCTGGAGGTCAGTGGCCTTCTTCCAACCTCTTGTTTCTTTTTTATATTAATATTTTGGTGTTGGTCGACATTGCCTGATGAAATAAAACACTCCACCACAACCTCTAATAGACTCACATGTAATAACGGTCTTGTTCTGAGAACGGACTTAAACTGTAATGGTTTTATCAGTCTCATTAGTGTAGTGGTGAAGAAGCATCGATTTTTACATTTGACAGTGTCAGGATAATACACTTAAATGAAGGACAAGATCACTTAGTTCTTATTTTAAAAATAACACACTCTCTTTTCTAAAAACAGGGGTTTTAAATAACTTAATATATTCAAAAAAATGTTTGGGGAAAGAAAAGTAAAAAATTTAAGGCCCTTCGTGGTTTTATCTTTTGCTGTTAAACGAACGAGGAGTGAATCATGGAGACTGAGAGAGGAAAGGACCGGGCAGAAGTTTTATGGCTCAACTGCTGTATTTTCAGGAAATATTCAGTAGAGGGCGCTGTTGCATTATATAACTTTAAAGGTGGCCTGTGTTGGAGCTCCCAGAGACAAGAATGTAGTTGTAGAGTTTCAATGACAATGGAAACTAAGAGGAACTTATGTCAGAGAGGGAGGTCAAAGGTCACAAATAGGATATTATTAATCATTCTACAACAAGTAAACGGATGGAAAGGAATGACCTTCCTTTATTTTCAAGAATAATCTCATCCTCACCATGATAAGAATGTACTTTCATCCAGTGAAGCGGTGTGGTCATGTGACTCTTAGTGAGTAAAACAGACAAACAACATTTTTCAAGGAGACTAACGTAACGAGTCGCTGCAGATGTGAGCTCCCTCCCTCCATTTTTCAAAGTCGCTGCAGATGTGAGCTCCCTCCCTGTCGTGGTCTTAGCAGGAGCCACAGATGTCCATTTGTCAGTGTCTGGGAACATGGCGGTGCGACCTTTCACCCCTCCCAGTGGTTTGTGTGAAACAGTGACACTTTGATACACCGAGCTGTGAGGTCGTCTGCACCGCCTGTCTCTGCGGCTCATGTGGTGTCACACAGGAAACGCCAGGAAGTTAATTATAGTCAGTAAATCTGAAGAGAAGTTGCAAAACAAGTGTTTAGAAGTAGATAAATAATTTCCCAGAGTGCATCTGTTTATGGGACACAGCAGTGGGACTGGTGAACTGAACCCTTTTTGTTGTTCACTAATCCTTGTACTCACTTTCTTGTATGTTTTGAATGACAGTTTAAAAAAAAATTCTGTGTTACACCGCTGCGTCCTAATCTATTGAGACGACACATGATCTACAGAACATCTTTTATCTGCACTTTAAAGGCGTAAACGTCAACTCCAAATTAGTTACACATCATGTCCTTCACTGCTGAGTTATTTTGATGATTTATTCAAATGCCAGTGTGAATAAGAGCACGTCTGATCTTCAAACTTCAAGAACAGTCGTGTGTTCTTACCGAGTTAAAAAAAGAGGCCTTAACTCTCACAGACAATACTCTGGAAGAGCTGCAGCACTAAATAAGACACCGCCACTTAAGAAAATAAGAGACATCCCGTGTTCCGAGCCAAGACCGTACATTGTGTCAGCACAGTGTGTTAAACCACACTCCCGGGCTCAGCATGTTTCTGCAGTCACTTTAACCAAGGTTCTCCTACGACTAGTGTTTTATTTTAATGAGCGTTTACCGAGCTTGAAATCTCTGCTCACACTTTCACTAACCATCACAACACTGGGAACTCAGGGGTAACTGGAGGACAACGACGTCTCTGCCAGCCTGAGTACGTGGGAACACACACACACACACACACACGAGGGTATTTCTGAGCAAACACATCACAAATATTAATACTGTGTAGGACCTGAACTGAACACAGATGAAAAATGTATAAAAAAGATGAGCAGCTTATGAGAAAAGTAACAACCTGAGGTGAGAATTGTGTGGAGACGTGTATTTACAGTTTAAAAATAACATCACATCAACTCTGCTCCATCACCGTGACCTTCATCTTCAGACGTCAAGAATCACCGCCAGCTTCTCCACCTTTTTCTACTGTCATCCATGGCAACAGCCCTCTCTGAGCCATTTTCTCCACGTGTCTTCAGGCAACACTCGCCCCCCCCACCATTATCCTGTCCATTAGTGCGTTTCTGCCTTTGTTATGTGGATTTCAGAGCTCCTGACTCCCGTGTTGTGTTCTCGATGTTCGGCACGTGACGACGAATTAGTTAAAGTACACTCAGAACTTTAAGAGCCGATGCACTGTACCTACTGTGTGCCTTTGAAGCATCCACCTGCAGAACAGTCTCAAGGACAGTTAGTGCTGATGAAAAGACAGAAGTGACAGGAGTGAAATGTTTCTTTTGACAATAATTACACAGCTTTGGTTCAAAGAATGTGGTCGACTCTCTTTGACATCCTTATTTTTTCTCCCTTTTGTAAACGAACGTCACCAGAATCTCTTTTTCACATTACCAGAATCAAATACAAACCCCGTCTTTGTCCCACACCAACAACATTTATCCAGTGAACTGCACAACACTGTTTCACCACATGAGGCAATTAAGTTTCCTGGCTTGGAAATGGATAATTCCTTCAATAATCCTCTGTGAAACACACCACCATTGTGTTTCCCAAAAGCAGGATATGCAGTAACTCACTCAGAGCCGTTGTGAGATATGACCTCACATAAAGTTTATTTCTGTCAAATGAGCTCAGCAGTGTCACCAGCTCCCATCACATGACTGGATAACACTTTCAACTTCTCAGCTGCAGTTAGCCAATAGGAAAACTACAATGGATAAAACAGAAATATCAAGAAAAAAGAATAAATTATATGGAAAATCAGAGCCACTGTAAGAGACAATAAACTTATATCTGACATATGTGAGGAAAGTGAAGTAGAAGAAACAAAAAAAGCTCTATATGAAGTTCTCTATGATGAGCTGACCATATTGCACCACAATCTGGCAAAATCTGGTTGTAAAAACGAATGTGCAGCAGGAAGTGAGAGGTGGCGATCCAAGAGAAGGACGGCATGAAGTAGAAAAGCAGACGTAGTTAGGTGTAGGGTGTAGGAGACATCTACCTGGGTCACTTCAAAACCTGCAGACTAATTCTGATCCTTCCTATTTTTCCAGCCAACTGTGCGGCCACGCTGACCAATCAAACACATGCTGAGTATAATGAGGAGACATGTTTTATTAATTCCGTGTTGGAGAAAGCCTTGAACTCCTCCTGTGAAAAACAAAGCAGAGCTCAAGCCTACACTGTAGTTCTGACTGACTTTTCTTCTTTCCCACCAATATCATCCCACATAATAAGTTTTCTTTTCATGTACTTTGGTGTTTAAATCTTCAAACAGATTTAGTTTTCAGTTCATTTCTCTTTTCTGGGGGAGTCGAGCAGCAGCAGCAGAGAAAACAATACAAAAACACGCTTTATTTTGAAACACAAAACTGGTGTTAATTGTCAGAAATGTGTTTTTAAGCCATGTTTTTTTAGGGTCTAAACAAACCTGAAACCTCTGTTCTCAATACACACCATCCAACTAAGTGACTGCTGTCAAAGGTTAAACGGTGTGTGTTCACTGTGTTCTACAGTCTCACAATGGATTTAAAATAATAAACACTGGGCTTCAAAATACTGATTCAGGGAAAAAGAAAAGGTTTTTTCCCAAGTGCTTCCCTTTTAACAATACCACAAAAAAAATAAAAAAAAAATCCTGAAGACGGCAGTTTGTCACCCTGTCCTGATGATGAACATGTTGTCCAGACTTCTTAAGACGTCTCCACTAACGCCTCGTTCATCAAAAACCTCCAAACCTTCTGTCGTGCTCAGCTCTGATTCAGCCGCAGTCACACTTCATTCTTGGCTTGGAGTCTCCATGACGAGGCAGCTTTTGATATTTTAAACTGACCGTTTATCAGGTTTTACTTTGTGTCGGTGACACAAAAACATTTCAAGGCCAGATAGATATTTTGGGTTGTAATTCACGGTGAATGGGGCTCCTTAGAGAAAAAAAAAGAAACGCAATAACTTACTCACAACAGGCGATCACTTGGCTGTGAAATTACATTGACCTCAGCTGCAGACGAAGGGACCTCCCGTCCTCGTTAAACTACCTGCTGTGCCATGAATATGCAATATCTCACTATATATATATATATATATATACACTTCCTGTGGTGAAGTTACAGCAGCTGCAGTGTCCTACAGATACTCCTTATATAGAGTATTTTTAACATTCCATCAGACAACACCACACAAGTGATCACTGAGGGAGGGGCTCGACCGGGGGCTCTCCACGTTCAGGATATACATTTACAGACACTTTCATCCGAAGCTTTGGTCCGACTTGCAGAGGAGGGAATCGAACCTGTACACGTTAAGAACCACCACATACAGGGCAAAAAAAAAATGCCATGAAACACAACTAGGGAGAATTGTGTGTATCAATAACGTGGACAGTGTTGACGACGAACCTGGTGAACAGTCACACACACACACCACACACACACCACACACACACCACTGACACACACACGACATTAGAACTGCTTCACCTCAGGAAATATAGAGTGGCAAAAGTGAAGTGTGTTTTTCATCCCCTGCTGTGTGGTTGGCCTGCAGTCATGCAGCGTGGGCACACACACACACACACACACACACACACGAGACCCACCTATATGTACGGCTGCAGACGGGGTGATAACCAGGACCTCTGCTTTTCCTTTTGTAGTGAAGAAAATGATGCAGCTGAGAAACCTCACACTCTAACATGGTGAGGTGGAGATGACAGGCCGAAGCGTTCTCAAACCCTCCTTTCATTGACGTCTTGTCTGGATGATGTGCATATGTATGAGAGAGGCAGCGCACAGAGAACAGGCTTGGGCTTCCTGAGTGGTAAACACTGAGAAAAGCCCTCCTCGGGTTCAAGTTTTTTGCTGTGCTAATAGTTTGTTCAAGTCAAGGGCACTCACAAAAGTTTTAGAAAATGAAGACGCCATTCAAAGAGAGTCTGTGAGGACACACAGACTCTCACACACGGTTGTTTTTTTTCTGCAACATTGCAGCAAACACACACACAGGTGAACAGGGCTTCTCCTGTGTAGCCTAGCGTCTACAGCCGTCTTCATAAGGAGCACAGCTGAGAGTCTGTGTTTAGAGGCGTGAGCCACACTTTGATTACTGCTGGACACACTGGTGAATTGTTGGAGCTCAACTAATCTTAGTATACTAATCTTAACATATATATATACAGAGTATAAAACAGTTGGAGAACCACTGTATTAGTCTACTAGACTATTTTCAAACCAGAGACGTTGATCGCTGCCGTAGATTTGAATAATCCTGACCTCCTTTGAAAAAAAAGAAAAAAGAAATTGGAAGTCAAGTATAGGTAAGGCTTTTTTTTTTATCTCTGAGAACAGTCTTTCCCAGCAGCTATAACTGGACTGACGTTCATCCTCCTGTTGGGTGGATGGATAAATCCTCTTTATCTGCCTCATCCTTATTCCCACTGCAGCCTTTTCTTTTTTCTTCTTCTTTTTTTTCAAACAAAGCTTCAGTTGTTTCCTTTAAAAACAACAACTCACACATAGATACATCACACTGTTCAGACAGAGGTCGGCTGGTTCTGTATCCTGCTTTAGAGATGAATCATTTGGAAGATGAGTTAATTAATATCCTCATTAAGGGCCTGTTATTTATGTATTGATTATTCTCAGTTATTATTTTGGTCTTTTTTTGGACTTCCTCTTTGTTGAGGACAGAGTTACCTTCTAATATGTTGCAGCAGGAAGTTTTACTCAACTCTGTCAGTAAATCATTCAGGATCTAAAGAGTCTATTGAGAATTGAGAAGAGAATATTGAAAAAAACAAACAAAAAACAACCCAGAAATAAAATCTGGACCAAATCAAACTGAGAACAGCATATTCTAAAAATGTAGCTCTAGTTAAAGACAGCACTTCTTTTCTGTTTGACTCGCTCTCCTCTCAAGTCTGCGTATGTTAAACACCCAACCTCCCACCACTGCTTCTCTCCTCCCCTCCTCTCCTCTCCTCTCTCAGTCTCTGGCCACGGAATCCCAGACAGTGTTTAATTGCAGTGTGTAAAGACTTGAGTCAGCCTAATGAGAGTATGAGTGTTTCAGACATTCGCAGAGTCCCACAAAGAACCAAGGAGCCGCAGGAGCTCGGGTGACGGAGAAGACGAGAAACCCCGAATTCAGGTACTGCTGCTGGGCTGAGAGAATACACCGAAGGAAAGGAGCAGAGGAGGAGGTGGAGAAAAGGGTAGAATGGAAGAGAAGGGCGGGGAGGAGAGGAAACAGGAAATACACCACCAGAGGGAGAGAGAGAGACAGAGAGAGAGAGAGAGAGAGAGAGAGGAAGCCTGCAGCAGCAAATGAGATAGAACAACGAGGCGGGAGAGGTAGAAACACAGACAGAGAGGGAGGGAGAGGGGCCCCGTGTAGGAGACAGGGCTACAGGGCAAGGAGGAAGAAGGGAGAGAAGAAGGAGTAAGAAAAAGTTGGTGGAAGTAAGAGAGAGTGAGGGTCCGGGGAAGGAAAACAACGTCTGCAGATTTGAAGGACCACAGAAGAACAGAGAAGGGGAAACAACTGACAGGAAGGAAGGGCAAGTACAAGACTCGAGTTAGAGGGAGAGAAAAAAGAAAAAGAAGTGAAGAAAAGTTTTTGTGTGGGACGAGACAGATGAGGAAAACAGAGCGAGTGAATGACTGGGCTGAAGGGTGCGAGGAGGGGAGGAAACCAGTTGTTTTTCTAACGCCGCTTCCACAGAATCCTCCGGACTTTTTTGGACATGTACACTGAAAGCTCGCAAACAACTGGACACCATCGATTTCTTCACTACAGAGACAACTCCTCGCCCTGCTGCTGCCAGCACTGTGTCCACCATGAGCAGCCATTTGGCCATCATGGTGGGCTGGGATACCAAGCAGCATCAGCCAGACAGACGGACCACCCATATCTGGACTGCTGGAGAGACATCCAGGCTCCTCGAGTCAAGGACGTTGGCGGCAGAGCTTTCCTAGTGGACGCAGTGGAGAGAAGTGGTCACCGGAGCCCACAGAGGAGGCCTGTGTTTGCAGAGCCCAGAGCCCATCGTGGTCATTCAGACGAACTGAGTCAAATTTGCCCCTGGGAGTTTAACTCTGCCCCGGGCACTTACGCGCTGGAGTCTGGGCCGAGACGTTACCAGTCTGTCAGAAAACAGTGTGGCTGTGTGATGCACGATGAGCCCGGCACACACACCTTCAAGCCCGGGACACCTCATCCTCTCCCTCACCTTCAGGTCAAAGGTCAGGAATACAGGCACGAGAGGACAGTCAGGTACGTCGTGGTGGACGAGAAGGAGAATGGATGTGAGAGCTCCCACGGTCCACCTCGGAACCATTTGTCTCTCCCAAATGGTCACTGTGGACAGAGGACAGTGCTCCCTCAGGACGGAGGGGAGGACAGAGACAGAGATCAAGACTGGGGCAAACAGAAAGACGGATCAGAGGACAGTTGTAACGGACGTGATGGTGTTCACGAGGGTTTCTTCGCCACCGAGGTCCCACAGAAACACTTGAATCAAAGCAGAAGAAAGGGGCCGTGCAACCCCGGCTCTGGCGTCACCGTCGTGGAGAAGTCCAGCCCGACGGACACCAGCGGTCACCAGCGGCAGGATTCCGAGAGCGGAAAGCCAAAGAGGAGGCAGGACTCCGTGAGGGATCAGATCAGACAAGTGGTGGCAGATCTGGAGGATGTGCTGGGGGGGTTGAAGCAAGTTCACGTGGAGATGAAAGAGGTAGGAGGCTCCATTGTTGAAGAGGTGATTTTTTAAAGATAGGGTGTGTGTTTATAACCAGATGTTTATTCACGGAGGGTTTTGTCAGGTGCACTGGAGTTCAAACAAAACAAACCTGGATCAGTCTGACACTAGTCCTGCATGTCACCGTGTGTGTGTGTGTGTGTGTGTGTGTGTACATGCGCACGTGTGTGCTGACTTCATTGTTTGTGACTCACTTCTACAGGAGTGGCGATTGAGAACGATTCACACTGACCTTCTGTAGAACGCTGCTGATATTGGCAGCGTTCCGACCAGCGCGTTAAAAAGCCTCGCTTGGACCTGGGACTGAATTATGTCCTGCTCTCTTTTTCAGTGTCCATTTTGCATGCAGCTGTAGAGAACCGTTTATTCCAGCTGAGTGCATCGGTGTGGATGGGACTTTGTACGGAAACATCACAGCTGTGAATGTGAACAATAAGAACAGCAGGAAAAACAGATTTAATTTGAAAGGATGTTTGAATTGTTGCCTTTTACTTTAACGCATTTCTTCACACAGTCGTAAAAGTCAAGGTGCAGATAAGAAGAAAACTATCATTATATATAGGATATAATTCTCTGTGTATTCTTTACTACTACTATGTTGAAACTACATTTGAAAAAAGTACATGTGTAGTCCAGACAGACCTAAAATAGGAAGTGGAAATGCAAATAGTTTTGTCTGACACTTAAGTTTTTTTTACTTTTTTTGGTGCAACTCTAAAAGTACAGCATGAAGAAAAACCCACTTTCGGTTTCTAAATAATAAATACTTATAGTTAACATACACCTGTGTACAGTTCTTTTGTAGTATTTACATATTTTGTGAAATATTTCTACACACTACACATTTGGTTAATTTAAAGTACTCCTATAAAGTACTTTTTTGAGTACTTATAGCTGCGGTTCTGTACAAATATTGATCGTCTTCATTATCATTCAGGTGGTCGAACAGATTGATCGTCTGACCGCCAACATCGACCTCAGCGAGGCGTCGTCCTGCAGCACTTTGGGAGTATTCAATAACACTGACAGCTCAGCTGCGTCAGGTGACATCAGGGTGGTCCTCCTGCCCAATCACCAGCCCTCTCCTGTCCAGGTGTCACAACACGCCGAGGGGGACCGCATCATCTTAAGGACTAACGCTCCGTCCCCCGTCCACACTGCATGTGTTGTTAAGACCAGCCGCTTCACACCCCCCAGCCACAGTAAAGACGTAAACCATGAAAAGCCAAGTGTTAACGGCCACCCCCCTCACCTGAACCCCTACTTGACCCACACTCCACCAGAGGCCCGGCCACACAATCTCGAGCCTAAAGTCATCATTGGTAACAGCACCAGAAGCTCTGGGTCAAGAACTCAAAAACCTCCACCGTACCCTCAGAACGGGCGCTGCTGCAAAGCCCCCTACCTGCCTCCTAAACCTGTGAAGACCCCTGCCTACCCGGGGAGAGGCCGCCAGAGCACCAGCATTGTGTGAAGGCGGGGAGGTGGTCTGCCCCAGTGCCATGGGGGCCTGAAACATGAGACCCTGCTGCTGCTGCGAGTGGCGGTGGTGAGGGACCAGGCAGGGGAACAACTCATGGTAAGCTCACACACAAGGAGACTTGTTTACTTTTACAGTGTCGCTGTTTCCGTCGTGGCTCCAGGCTGATGACGTTTGCTGTGTGTTTACTGGCAGCACAGTTTTTTTTTTTCTGCTTTACAGTCACTAAATGAATCGCAGCATTTCTCCCTGTTACAAAATGACTTTATGTGTGTGTTTGATCTACGAGTGTGTGTGTGTGAGGGGGTGAGAGGGTGTGTGGGCGGTGACGGAGGGGGCGTAATGTGTCTGCTCTGGCTGATGTCACATGATTTCCCAGTCTTTACACTGCAAAGTGTGACTGTTTGGCAATGTAGAAATGGTGAAAGACTTTTTTTCACCCCCTGCCCCCCGCGCTGCTCATTTGCACCAGCCAACAACAGCCCCGCAGGGTGACATCACGGCTGAACCCCCGCGCTGCTCATTTGCACCAGCCCCGCAGGGTGACATCACGGCTGAAATCAAATTAGAAACGAGGAGATCTGAAGACCTTTTCATCTTGAACATCAGCCCTTAAGTGCTTCTCATAATCATGTCGCTTTTATTCACTTGACTTCAAAGACGAGATAAGACTTTTTTTTTTCCTCTGCAGTGTTCCTTAGTCATCAGTATCTCAGAGATTGAGGGAAGAGAGAGGTTTGGCAGGAGCTCAGTCGTTCTGGTGAAGTGAGACCCCAGAGCCACTTGACTACAATCATGGGACACAATAAGGAGTCATTATATTTACAGGATGATCATAGCTGTGAGTCAGAACCGGCGTAATTTACTGCGGTGAGGAGGACGAGGACTTTCTTCTCGTGCCACCGTCAGATGTGTCATTACTGTCTGTCAACAACAACAGAGGACAATAGTGGAAAAAAGTCCCCTTTTTATACAAGAGGAAACTTTTAACAGCAGATGCAAATCATTTAGGATTCCCTTAAAAAAAAGAAAAAAGTTAACCTTTGCAGATGCGTTGAGTTTCTGTACTTCCCTCTCGTGCAGAGTATGTGCAACTGCAATCTATTTTTCCGGCCTCTGCAAGTTGGGCAAGCACAATCTGGTTTTAATCATAAAATCCCCTGGCCAGGCGCCAGAATGGATTGAAGCGAACTCTGGGTATATTTGTGACGTCCGCATAAACAGGAGCACCTCTGCACAGCCGAGCTGCTCCTCGGCTCACGGAGCTCGGGGAGAGGAGCACTCAGCCGGCTGCAGCCTCACACGGAGGCCGGCTGCCAGAGAAAGTGGACGGGAAAATGAAAAGCACGGGTTTTCATTCACTGAGTGAGATGAGAGTTTAATTAGCTGCAAGGACAAAGTAGCCCGCAGCTCAATGGCTCCTGTTTCTCTTGAAGTGTTTTAGAGACATCGATGCTGCTTAGATTTTGAAGGTCTGACTCATCAAACTTCCGGAACAACAGCTTTTTGTGCTGAGTATCACAAACACATTGGCCAGGATGTTTTTGTTTTTTTGTTTTGGTTGTTTTAGTTTAAAGCTGCAGATATGAAGTGTTCTGTGAAACTAATCAATACGCTTCAGTTCTCAATTGCTCTGGAAGTGGACAAAATATTAAACCTTCTTATTTATGAATCCTCTGAAATGAAATATATTTAATTTATTGTCACATATAAGAAATCAGACTGGGAAAATGCCATTTTGTACATTTATGTGGACTTCTTTTTATTAGTGGCTGAAACAGAGACTGATATACTATTGAATCCCTTAAGAATATGAGTGAAACAGGCCTTAAGTGGTGCAGTGTGTATGCTGTATGCTGCCATGGCAACAGGAGACAAAGCATCAAGCTGAAAGTGATTCTTCATTCAGAGTATACATGAAATAACTGTTATGGCTGAAAGAGTACTGTGTATAATATTCAGGTGATACTGTCTGTTCAGAAATACTGCAGTAACAGTACTATAAAGATGTTCAGAAACTGCGTACAGCGTTACCGGCAGATGTTCCTGATTTCCACTACGGTCTTCACGACATCTCACTTCACTTCCTTTTTCTCTTCCACCTCCACTGATCTCAGCTATTAAAAAGTTGCCATTTTGCCAAAGAGGACATCATTTTCGTCCAAGAAGCGTTTTCGCTTGACGTAAAACAAGTGTGTAAATATTTCAGATAGTAATTTATTCAGCTTTCTTATATCCAGGCTGCGTCTCTTTACTGCTTTAATATAATTAAATAGCTGCTGCGAAAAAAATGAAAAATGCACTCTTAAAAGTCTTCCTCCTCCTCTGTTGACCTTTGATTATTACTGTCTTACTGTGAACATGAGATTCAATACCTGGTGTTTATTTATGCAAAAAGAAGTAGATTAAAGTAAATCTAAAATGCAGAAAATAATTTTTGTCCATCCAGAGTTTTGTACCAGTGAATCAGTGAATCAGTGAATCAGTGAATCAGTGCAGTAACGGGTGATGCAGGAAAAACTCCTGCAGCTGCAGAGTGTGGACAGCATCAAAGAGCTGAGCTGGGAGTGAAGTGGTGAACTTGCAGCAGAGAGGGAGACGGAGCGGGGGGAGGGAGTGAAGTGGTGAACCTGCAGCAGAGAGGGAGACGGAGCGGGGGGTGAAATAAACATGATATATATATTATATATTTATATAATCAGTTGAATGGTGGAGAGCTGAAGTTGAAGTCCATGTCGGGGTCAGGAGTTCATGAGCTGACGACCAGCAGGTGAACATGTGGTCAGGCAGCTTAACCCTAACCTCTAACCTCAATCCTGACTCCAACCAACCAGTGACCTTGGTAGAAATCAAACATCAAGGTGGAAAAAACCAAACAGACAGACAGACAGACAAAGAAAGGAACAGAGAAACATAACTGAGAAACAGGAAACAGGAAAAGCCAAGAAACAGGGTCAGAACCAAACACAGAGTCAAAGCAAAGGTAAATCTGAAACAAGTAAGGAACAGGGTCAGAACTAAACAGAGTCAAAGCAAAGGTAAATCTGAAATCTTTTTTTTTTAAATTCTCTTTGGAGCTCAATCCAGAATAAATGTGTGAGATGGAGCCGTGTTTTATTCCTCTGGAACAGTAAACCACATTACAGCAGCTCTCAGAAATGCTCGCAGCTTCATCTGTGCTACAACTCAACCTTTTTATGACTGACTCCTTCTGTAGGAGTCACTGCAGACACACTGAAAAACACTGGAGGTCTGGAGACACTGGAGGCTCTACCTAACGTCCACGTCCACCCCTCATAATGCCACTGTCTCTACTGGTGTGGATGAGGCTGTTCTCACTTTTTTTCTGTGGCTGTAAATTATTATTTTTTTAAAATTGTTTTTCATGCGTGTAACGGTCTAGCTAAACAGCACTTTCCTAATCTGCTGAAATGTGTTTCAGGCATTTGCATCATCAGCCGTGTAGGAAAAAGTAAAAAATACTGAGAAACTAAAGTAAAAACAAAATGTCTCTGTTTCTGTCTCAGTTAATTCAAGTGGATTTTAAGGAGATGAAAAAGTTTAAGAACGTCCTTTCACATGTAGTGATAAAACTATAGCTCTCTCTCTCTCTCTCCCTCTCTCTCTCTCTATATATATATACTCTACTTTTACAATTCTTTATTTCGTCTTGAAACAATTGAACATTGTACAAACAAAAGTATCAAATGTTTTCCTCATTTCTTGTTCACACAAAAACCACCACGTGTGACAACACACACTTCGTCTTCTTCTTCACCTACTGCGATAACGCACTTCAACAGTACACCAGTATTTATGAATCAAAAACAGGGCTTGCAAATGTATTCTTAGCACCACCTATAAGCCGGGAACTACAAGCTCAATATGCACAAAATCATTTCTAAATTCCACTTGAAAAAGGCTGAAACCTTATGTGCAGTTCACCGAGAAATAAAAAAAAAAAACTAAATTTGGAACCAAAGCCTTGAGAATTTGTGTGTTCAGTGTTTGACCTTGGAGCAGGATTTGTTTAAACCCACGAAGCCACTGAGTTCAAATTCAAAATTCAAAAAATGTCCCTCAGTCTTTTCACTTTCTTTTTTCTTCTTTTCTGTTATGATGTTTTCAGCTGGAGCTGATGCCACCGAGACGAGCGGTCAGCCGATGGAAAGGTGGAGAGATTTCCAAAGAGGAAAACTTCTCCCAGTTTGGTGTCGACCTGTGACGGTCTCACGGCCTCAGAGGATTGATGCTGTTGGTGCGGCTGTAGGTGGAGAGTCAACCACCAAGAACGACGCCACCTTGGACTGCTACAACCACCAGTACAACATCTGCTAAAGGAGACACTCATGCCAGTATTATTTATTTTTTATGGACTATTTCGTTTAGCAAAATGATCTGCGTACTACCAGGCAGCTTACACCAGTTTGGATGCTACCATTGTATGATATATAAAGATTTATATAATCTAAAATAAATCTGATATTTTACAAACCAAATATTTTTGCTCTCTGCTCCACGGTGACGGCAGAGAAAGCTAGCAACTGGAAGAGTAGAGACGGAGAAGAGGAGCTGACGTCAGACTGTAACGCAAAAGATTATCCTGCACTTTTTCCTGCGCACAGATCGATCAACACCGATGTTAAAGATCTGGCTTCAAAGATTATATATTGACAACTGAATGTCCAACATTGTTATCAGGAATAAAAAAAAAAAAAATGATGCCAGTCTTTCTCTGTGCCCGACTCTGCCAAGTCATTTATCACCGTTACCGTAGTTTATGTGTCACAAATGGGTGTGGGAGCTGGAATAATTCTCAGCCCGATCAAAAGATGGCAGTGTGTGATCTCTCGTGGCTTTTTTTTTCTTCAGTTGCTTCAGCCTGAGCCGGCGAAGCCCGTGTCTGAGGAAGTGTTTGTTTAAGTCTTGTCTGAGACTTTCACCACACTGCTTTCACAAGACCCTGCTACTATCTGAGCAAACCGCTCCCCAGGCTGTGAGAACCGGCCCCCGGTAATTCATCCACCACGGAAAACCTCACTGCAACACTGTCTGTGTCACTGGTGAAGAGGGAACAACACCACCACGCCCCCTCTACAGTGATAATAATAATAATAATAATGTGATGACCTGGGCAGTCTGCAGCCCACGGGCCACATGTAGACCACTTACTTTCGCATATTAGTTGAGTGTTAGTCTCACAAACTGTGCTCAGTAAAACAGACCAATCTTTAGAATTTCTGCTTAATGTAGAAATTTGGGGTAAATGTTGGAATAATCTTCACCGTCGTGAGAGACGACGTTTTGAAAACCACGTGCCACAGTTGCAGTAATATTTAGAATAACAATAATTACTGTGTACTGTCCAGTACGGTCCAGTGCCCAGAGAGTATTACAATCACTTTAGAAGCTTAAACCCGCTCCATACTTGCCCTAATATCTTTAGTACTCAACCCATGAATCATAAACGCATCATCGTGTTAGTACTCACCCATGAATCATAAACGCATCATCGTGTCTCTTAGGTTCCGAGTCTTCTTGGAGAAGGAAAGATTACATTTTTTATGGTTCAGTCATAAACTGCATCAGATTATTTTCCATTTCCCAGACACAGCATTAATCTGCGTGTTGTTGGTCTGGCAGCGAGCAGCTGTCTATGAATGGAATCAAACTTCAGGAGGAAAACAGTCCAGAGAACGGCATAAATATAAAACTATGATTGCAAACAACCATCAATCCTCAAGAATGTTGTACAGCTCCAAGGCCCTGGATCGGAATCCTGGTGGCCTTTGACAAAACCCGTGTCTTGGCCTGCAGTACCAGTCTGGGCCTTCATTCATTCACCGTCTGCAGATCCTGACAGACAGAGCGCAGGGACGGAGAAACCTCTGTAAATACTGCTGTGACTACGGAATGTCAGACAGAGATTCACACCAAAAATAACACTGGTTCTGATTACCACCACTTCCTGCTGCTCGTCCAACTGCCCAACAAAAACACGAGTGAAGGATACTGTTAACACCAGCGGTGCTTGATGGCAGTCCAGTGGAATGTTTCTCCCCTGATCTGTTTAGACTTTTGATTTCTGGCAGGAAAACAACAGCAACTCAAACAACCGGGATCTTTGTTTCAGAGTTCACAGCCTCGTCCTGACTCAAACCTACAACAGTCTCCCAGAACACAGAGTCGACCACAGAGGAACTCCACCTCAGTTCTCCAAAACTCAATTAGAATTGAGTTGAAAGTCTGTCATTCAAATAATTACATCGGTCAAATAAACACAACCAATTACAAAATGTGTTAAAAAACTAAATTCAATGCATTCACTTGTGACCCTCCTTCAATGCTGCACCCCCTCCACCCATGAACAACATAATTCAGGTGTTCCCAACTTACCTGGAGTTAACGCCATGAGGAAAACACGACCATGAAGTGACCAACAGGAACCTTCAACACGACGAAGACAGAGTGAGGAAGAGGGGGATCAATACCCAGGTGGGACGAATGAGACTAACAGGAAGTCACCGCACACAGGTGAACGTGATGGAACGTCATCAAACACGTGGTTCCTCTGGGAATCAAACCCAGGACTCTCTGCTTCCAGGGCAGCCCTGAGAACCGCTGCGCTGTGGAACCACACTCTGATTTATCTGATTTGTCCCGTGTCATTGTGTAAAGTTGTTTCATCGTGTTGTAGCCTGCAGGCGTATTTTCACATCACAAAGGAATTAATTTGTCTCACGGATTATATTTTCATGCCTGTGGGCAAAGTGTTAGAAATTGGAAAACAAATGAGAAAAATATAATGTTAAAAGCCGAGAGATGAATCATCAGTGAACAACAGAATAACATCCAACACAGCAGACCAACAATCAGAGAAATCCTCTGAGACTTTCCTTTAAAACCACCCAAGTCAAAATACCACCCAGCTCGCAGGAAAAAGAAGATTCATCATCAGCCCCACTCAGAGATGACTCCTTTGTGATTGTTACACACTGTTTTTTTTTTCTTCTCTCGCTACAGTTAAGGCACTGTGGTTTCTGGTTTGGTGAGTGACCGTCATGAGAGCGAGGAGTCCAGAGCTCGAGCCCTTGGTGACCTTTCTGGTCCACATCTGACCTCCGTGCTGCTCTTAATCTGGGTGAGATGACAGAGCTGCTGAGGAATTTCTCTGCTTTGTGGCTAAACCAATCTGTCAAGACACGGCCTGTAGGCTGAGCGTGTTTCTTTGTTGCGTTCCTGCCAGTTCTCACGTGGCCCCGTTTGGTTGAAACATGACCTGAAAATACCAAACTCTGGCCTCGGTGACCTCTGTGTCTGAAGACGCGCAGACGCAACTGGAAAACGTCTCTCCTTGTCCCGGTGTGTCTTCACCTCACGTTACCTTTCCTGACATCACCTGTACGTTGGCCTGCGTTTGTTGACACCAGATGTGAGGTACCAGTCTGCTCTCTGGTCTTTACCAGTGCTAGTGTAAGTCTAACAGGAGGCCTGGTCCAGATGTTGGTGTGAAACTCCACAGCTGAACAAACAGCCGGTGTCTTCTCTACACCACGACATGTTTGAAATGACACGCAGGTCCAAAAAGGACACCAGCTGAGTACAGAGGGACAGAGACGATGAAAGAGAGGCAATCACTTGGAAAAGTTTCACAGTTTTTATCAGGTCTAAAATAAGAGAGAATCAATAGTTTTATTCAAACTCATTTCTGTGCACAATTTATGATTAATTATCATCTGCAGACGTCCCTCTGCCGTCAGGGTTCAGATTTTGTCTGCAGGTTGTTTAATCATGGCTGATGGATTTGTGTTCCGTCTGCGACGACTCCTTTTTTTAGGGGATTTTTTAAGGATCTTGCTGAAGTTGTCACTTTGTTAAATATTGTCCTGAAACATTCCAGGAGAGCCAGGAAATAAGTCGACTGAACAAGAGTCAGGGGGATTTTTCCAGACACCATGAAAAACATTGACAATCTCTCCTGGCAGTGGAGCGTCTTGGCAAACAGCTACACAAACCATTTAAACTGGGCTTGATCTCCCTGCTCCACTGCCCCCCCCCCTCTCCATACCTGACATCTGTGCATTTAAAGGCACATGCAGACAGTACAGGTTTCTATTTGACGGTTCACTATATATGAACCTTCGATAAAGTCTTTAAATCAGGTGGGACTCTTCATCCAACCACGGCAGCGTGAAAAAAAAAAAGTCAAAATCCTTTCGTTCCGAAAGGATTTCTTTATTTCTTCCAGTCGTGTCTTCACACAGGTCTGTCAGCAAACATGTGGCCCGTGTCTGTCTCTGAGACGTGGAGCTGCTCCATTCAACAGGACAAGGACACAGCTGTGACTCAGCCTTTTCACTGTTTGTGCTCATGTACAGCAGAAATAAAAGACTTTTCTTTCCTTTCTTTATTTAAAACCTTCTCTTTCTTTTTATTCCATTAAAAATAAGACGTCATCCGTAGTTTTCAACAGGATTTCTTTTCAAAATTTCATATCCAACACGACACATTTGTAATAACCCCACAATATATTTATGAAATTGAATTTAAATGCAAATTGTAGCACTTACAATTCACAGAAAAGTAAAATATCTAAAATGCAACAAAAATCAAACCACTTGAGTGTTTTACCCACCTGTGCACGTATCATCATTTCAGATTATAAAAAAAAACATAATTATAACACAAAAAAATTTGGCATGTATTCAACCAATATTAACCTTCACAAAGATCAATTCACTCTTTTTATTTTTATTTATATTTACACATCAGTGTGACGTTGGTCTGAGTGAAAAGTTCAACCCCTGGAAAACAAGGACAGAAAGAGAGAGAATTTTGAATTTTTTTCACCATGTTTTGCAACTGGATTTTCACACAGTTTTCATGGGGCAGAGATTGTCAACAGTGTAACATTCACTACCTTGATATTCGACAGTTGCGTGTCTGAACAAAGACTCCTGTGTAGGTGATGTCACACCGCACTACGTTGTTGGTGAAGTCTGATTCAAGGACATGAAAATTGGGATTGACCATCACCTGAGGTCAGAGTCACAGGTGAGAGTCAGGAACCAAATAATAAAGAAATTAAAAATAATAATTCAACTTGAGTTGTTCTTTACCCTCAGGATGTAATTTCCCGGAGGAACGTCGGTGATGTCGATCCACTGACAGTCGATGTTGGCAGCGTAGAGGTCATGACACCCAGGGCTCAGGCCCTGAAACCACCACACAATCACAGATTAAGATTAACCAGAAAATAAAATATATATATATATATAAATCACAACATTTGAATTGAACCTGGCTTTTAAATATGTACCTAGCACCCCCTACAGCTCACAGTAGGTGAACTGCATCCTCACTGCTGACAAATACCATAACAACCTTCCTTCAACAAGAGACAAAGACCAGGAGGGAAAAAAAAGAAAAAGGAACAATCACCTGTAACCCACGTGTGGCCCCTCAGCCTCTCTCTGAGACTGTTTTAGACTCTCTGACTAGCATTTTCCTACATGTGCTGTAAATTACGCAGATTCAAGAGTTAGTAATACAAACAGTTCCTGGAACAAACGTTGTTATACGACACCGTCAGCGGGAAGCCAAGGACAGAATCACAGACCAGACGACAGCTACTCCAGGGGTTTCTGGATATTAGCCTCCCAGTGGTATTAGTCACTTTGAGATGTGGCTTTTTTTCTTAAAGACTGTGAACAAGTCTGGTGGTTATTAATACCACAATACTTTAGACTGTCCTTCAAAATAAGTCTTTGAAAAAAAAAATCACACGTTGGTAATAATAAATTAACAAACATGAAGGATGAGTCCTAAAGTCTGCCTCGGCCGAATGACTTAGTCCAGTCTGGTTTTAAAGTGTCACTGTAGTCACTGGTTTAGTCTGGTTTTAAAGTGTCACTGTAGTCCAGTGGTTCTCAAAGTGAGGTGCGGGGCCAAGTCGAATACCAAGGATCAATGCTGAAGTGTTACCTGTGTGTGGGACGTACAGGCGTAGCGTCTCCTGAATCCTGCATCGCAGCCTGTGTCCTCCAGGCAGAAGCTGGCCTTGTGTCCCTCGGCTACTTTCCGTCCTGTCCTCATGTCCAGCAGGTCGTAGTTACTGAACGCGTCCATGCTGTGGTAGTGCCTGAAGAGTGGACACACAGTCGTTACAGCGGGTTTGTGTCTGTTATCGGATCAAAGTGGACCGACGTTGGACCGCAGCTCGGTTCCTTGTGGTGAACTCACTGGTGACAGCTGTGCCAGTCCCACTGATACCGTGGCTTGACAGGGAGGAAGTCGGAGGTACCTTGGTTCTTCACCTTCTGAGGGAACCGCAGCAGAACCCTGAAGTCGATGTCTCGCACCGCAGGTCCGTAGGCTGACCTTGGGAGGAGCAGAGAGGAGAGACACGCTGTACTGTACTGTTCTGAGGAAGACAGACAGGAGTAATGGAGCGCAGAGCGTTTGTTCCATCATACTTAGTGCTTTTGGGAAAAAACCCAACCCAGAACTATTTGGTCTTGGCAGGACATCTTCTTGGACCGTCTCTAGACTACGGACTTTATTTTTGTAGCTTAATGATTAGAGCAATTATCCAGACAACACAAGAGTTTGAGGTATTTTACATGAACGAATGCTAGTCCTAAGGAAAACCTTCGAGCGCGGATTGAATTACTTGCGAGAGTATGCGTGTACTTGCTGCAGTGTGTACTTGCTGCAGTGTGTACTTGCTGCAGTGTGTACGTGCTGCTGGCTGTGTACTGTGGAGGTGAATCACTCTTGGCTGAGAACCTTACCTGGCCAGACAGTTCTCCTCGGCTGCACAGCGGAGAGCATACATCTGCATGCGCTGGACATAAGCACCTGCTTGGATGGCATACGGGTCTGGAACAAGGTCTGGGAGTCCTGCAGTCAAGTAAAGGAACAACACGTGGTTTTTTTCTTTTACTTTTCTTACTTTGGATTTTTTTTCTCTCTCCTTTTTCCCCATGTGTTTTCTCTTTCCTCTAAGTTTGTTCTTTCCTTCTTCCTGCAGTTCCTTCTTTCTCTCTTTTTTGTTTTTGTTTTCCTTTTGAAGGATTGAAGCTCTGTGATCTTGTTGAGAATCAGTAACCACTCTGTCATAGAACAGAGAGAACTGTTCTTTAATTTAGCAGTGCACACACACACAAAAATATTATTTATTTACTAATCAACTCACCCGACCAGTCATTATCTGTTAATTATTAATCCCAGTTACTTTATGATGTGGAGAGTGAAGCTAAAACAAATCGACTCTGAGACTAAAATTACTGGAGCATTTAATATATATAAAAAAAAGATCCAATGAAAAGTTACTGGACAGAGCTGCACTCACCGTTTTGGAAATATCTCGTTCCATATCCAGCACCAGGAGGACGGTGTGGCCGTGCCACTGACCTCCCCGTGGAGGGGTGCAGGTTGTAGAAAACTGAATTCCTATGGTTTTTGAAAGGGTTTCGTGGGTCGTCGTTGACCATGTTCTCACCAGGTGTGGTCACCTCACCCGGACCATCCTCCGTCTGTAGGTGGAACGGTGAGAAACCCTCAGCTTCTGTTTCTAAAGCTGTAGGAAAATCAGAGACGGACGTTCTCTCCGGTTGTTCTCTGGTTCCCTGAGAACCGACGGACACAAAGGGTCTCCCGTCACGTCCAGGAGTGAGAATTCCTGGCGGTACATTGAGGTCAGTCACCCTGTGGCCTTCAGCCGGTCGGCTCCTGGTGCCATCTCTTCTGCTGCTCACATAAACCCTGGAGTGGCTCCTGGAGCGAACCGGAGCGTGGAACTCAGATCCAGTGCTCATCAAACTGTAAACCTGTCCGTGGTTCTGCCACTGAATCCGATGTCTCCACGGGCCCACATGTGTGCGCTGTGGATGCTGCTGCTGCTGCTGCTGCTGCTGCTGTCCAGAGGAGAGAGACAGAAGTCCCTGGAAAAAGTATAACAATGATACTGACCACTTCGCCATGGCAAAAAAAAAACACCTCAAAGATTTAAATCCCAAAGAAAAGTCAGTTGGTCTGCAGTGAGAGCACAGATGTTTTCTGTGGAAATTGGAAGAAAAGCAGGAGCGCAGTCTGAGTCTGAGCTCTCTTAAAGAACAACATATCAGTTCTCAAGAGGATTGACAAGGAGGAGAGGGGAGAGGAGAGGAGAGGAGAGGAGAGGAGAGGAGAGGAAAGGAGGGCCCTGGCCTCTCCTCCAAATTATTTATCCAACTCAAACCTGTTACTTGTGCAAAGACAGACGTTCAACCTGAGAACCCCGACCCAGCCCTTTCCACAGTTCAGTCTCTCACAGGACAGACTCAGAGGTTTGCTGTGTAAACTTCACACAGGGCTGAGAGCTGCTGGGTTTAAAGGAGCAGTCCGTGCAGTTAGTCAAGGTGCTGCTGCAGTAGGTCTTTTGATCTGATTAATCACAGGGCAGCTGTGGATTCATTCAACTGAAATTAGTCACCAACTGTTTGTGACTAATTTTTGTGACTAATTAATATGGAAGTAGATTTTGACCTTTACTGTGCATCGTCTCTAAAGGTCAACTAAACAGCACTACAGAGGCCTCATGCAACATGAAGAATTCACCACAAGAGGGCAGGCTGTCACTGTTTGATAGAGTCCTACAGAATATTTATTAAGGCACTCAGAATTTAGAGGAAGATAACTTTAAATAGTCACTGAAGTCTGATTTAAAAATGTCAGGACACGTCTAAAAATAAAATGCAATTAAATCTAAAACTGAAATTTAGTAAACTGAACCTTTAAGTCTTTTCATTTTATTTACTGGCCAACTTTCCAAACTTGACAGGTCTGACAGGCGTCTATGAATACATAAATAATCTTTCTAAGATTTAGACTTGAATAAACTTCCTCTCACAGATACAACAACTCTTTTTTTTTTCTCCTCTTCCAAATAGGGTATCCCGACAGTGAGCCTGCACATGTGCTGCTCTATTCTTAGCTGCAGATCTTGCCCCTGCATGGTCGAGCGTCCAGCTCCGCCTCGCTCCCTGTGTCCCAGCAGATTTATAAGAAGCACAGATCCTCGGCACTGGTTTGGCACAAGACGTACGCAGCAGGACATGTAGCCCCCAAAATTTAGCAAGTAAGTATTGATGTTGAATTGAGCATTTCTTGTGTGTCTGACCTGAAGGTAAACAAATCACAACAAGTGTTGCCACCGAGAAAAAAAAAAAGGAAACTGTAAATGATTGGAAATAAAACAAAGAGTTTGTGGTTGTGTGGTGGTACACCTGCAGCAGCAGCAGTGTTCCCTGTGTGAAAGACTAATCCTTCTACGCTTTGGATATATCTTATCCCATGAATCTAGGTATCCAGGCTTTGCTTCTTGTGAGATTTAAGGAAGATGATGGTCTTAAAATGGTTTGAGCACAAGAATTCTTCCCAAACATGGAATATACCTGTTGTCTTCCCCTGAGGCATCACACTACCAGTCTGAGGAGTAAAATGATAGATCCAGAGGGTTTACCACAGGTCATGGGAAGACAATACAGGTGAGATGCTGAAAGAAATGCCTGACGATGATTAAACATCTTTGACATGTGACTTTGTGGCGATATATCTGGTGTATATATTTGGTTGGGTTCCTGAAGAAAAATAAATCTCAGCGTAAACTGCGTTACAGCTAAACTGTATCTGACGATAAAAGTAGTGACATTTAAAAGCCGGGGGTCTGCAGATCAGTGGGTTTCTTCTAACAGTGTCAGTGTCTGACTGTCAGCTCTGCTCATATTTCAGCTCACAATTTGCTCCATCGTCGCCACGTCACGCCTCACTTGTATCTGACTGAGCTCGGCCAGTGTCTGACTGTCGGCTCTGCTCATATTTCATCTCACAATTTGCTCCATCGTCGCCACGTGACAAATTGGTTTTGGAAGCATTTACCAAATATAAAATACACTGACTTTGAGATTTTATTATAAACTGACTCCGAGGTATTTTAGAAAGTAACAAAAAAAAAATGCTTAAAGCTATTCAAAGATATTGAGAGACTATACAGGAGTCTTTATATGTGTGTGTGTGTATTAGTCCTGAATATACTGCATATTTGTACATATATGTACAGCCATAGATATAATAAGATAAACATATCTATGTATTGAATCATTTTATTTCATGAAATAGTGAAGTTAAAATAAAAATAATTGAGATATTATTATTATTAAATGTGTTTCTGGCACATTCAATAATTCTATGATTATATTATTAAACACATATTATTATTATTAAATGTGATTCTGGCACATTCAATAATTCTATGAATATATATTTAATTAGATGTTTTTTTAATGGTTTATTAAGGTCATATTAAGAGAACCTTATCTTTATTTCTGGAAGATAAATAAGACTCCCCACAGCTGACAGCTGTAATCTTTACAAACTGATTATATAAATTCTACACCATAAGGCAGTTAGAGTCAAGTGTTGCACCGACGTGGAGCCAGAAACATTCCTGTGGTCCGACCACTGTAACCCGTCCCATACCTCAGAGGTCCCCGGTCACTTATAAATGAGCCACCGTGCTGCATGTGATAGCCACTCATCGCCCGGGTCACTGCCGCCACGCCCATATATGGATGCCATACCTTTCCTTTTGGGGCTGACATGGCGGCGGTTGACGTAGGAGCACATGCCAACCCACGCGGCTTCTCGCCCTCCTGTGTGGTGGCGTGAGGGGACTGGGCCCTGACTCAGACCTGACCATGGAGTGTCAAGTGAGGGGCTGATCAAAAATACTCTCTCTTAGTCTAAATATAAAGTGAGACAGCAGCTAGCCTCTGCTCCAGGCCACCGCTGGTATGTAGAAATTCCCTGATATGCATCACAAGACCCCGACCCCCGTCACACCCACTGTGGCTCTGTCTGACCCTGGGAAATCTCTTTGAAAACATGGTGGTAATAATAATAAAAGATAATAAAGTCTTATCATATCTACAGTCCTGGACCATAAACTCTTTTATAATCAGTTTGAAAGAAAGACTTTATCAGAGGGTCAGAGGTCAAGGTTCGTTCAGTCATGACTCAGAGTAAGATGATTCACTTACAGCTAATATCAATGAAGCTGAACACGTTGTGTATATGGAAATATTCCTGCTCCATTTATACTGTGATACTGAACGGAGGATTCACTGCTGCCTCCTACTGCACAGATCTGTCAACACTGACAATAAACAGACAAACTGGGCCGTGATCTGGACTGTAGTTACTCCATCAATTCACTGCCTGTCTGAATGAGGAGGAGCGACCACAGGTGTGAAGGCTGGTTCCTCTCTACTGCTCTAATGTGGCCCACAGATGAGTGGACTGTCCACCGTGTAGGCCACACTCACCCATGGTTGTGACGGTGTTGAGCAGCTGATTCTTTTTTTTTGTGTAAGGCAAGAGTGTGAACCACTCTTCTCCCGTTTGGCCACTAACCCAGCTTTAGAAATGAGTCGCTCCAAAATGTTTTTTCCCTCCTGCTTCAGTTTCTCTGTTCAGATATGAAGCAGATAAGATCAAAGTTTCATATCCAGCACAAAAACAAAGAAAAAAGCCACTAAAAAGATAAGGACCTGTTCAATTCTTATTATTATTTCTGTTTCTGTTTCTAACACACCAGTTTTTACCAGCATGAGCCAAATAAAGAAAATGATTAAATTATTCTGAGCAACAAAAGGACAATTTGGGAGTCCATAGTAAAATGAATGACATTAACTTTTCATCGTTGTCATGTCGTTGTCATACATGGTTTTAGTTTATTTAATTTTATTTCCTACTTTTATCTGTTTCATAGCTGTCGTTGTTTACAGAGGGAGTTTTATTTCAGGAAGTTGAAAGGCGGCAGGTTGTTATCAGCCGTCCTCACGTGTACTGCCAACGTTGTTGTTGTAAAACGTGACAGTTGTGATTGTAAAGTCAGGTGGGTGTAGTGAGAGTAACGAAGGTGAAAGAACACGGGACACAACGATCAGATGCAGTCATTTTTTATGTTTCAGGTATTCCTCCTCCACGTGGGAGGGATTTTCCTTTTCAAAATTTTTGACGTTTGGTACACAACACGTCTGTCCCTGATGTCAAACACTGGGACGTCCAGAGATGGCGCACGTCTTTGTGAAAAAGTTACAGGATCATACAAAACACGGCATTTCTGCTGTTAGTTCTTCATAAGTTACATGATTGACTATTTACAAATCAGACTGGAGCTCTGCTGCTGACTATTCACTCACATTCATATTTACAAGTCTATACACAAATCTGCTGTCGTCCCTGTGGTGCTGCGGAGAGGAGGAGAAGAAGAAAAGATGAAATGCACAAACTGGATTTACTGCTGAGACAGTTTTTATTCCTGAGACTCCACTCACCTACAAACTGTTCAGAAGGGTGTTCTGAATGTTTTCATACACCATGTTGTAGATCATTTCCTTTGGCTCCATCCCATCAATGTACTCTGTTTAAAACAAAAAACAAAAACCCAAAAGTCAGTGAGTTTTTTACATTTAAAAGCCTGAGTTGTGCATTTTAGTCTCTCTAGACTAATATTTGGACCAAACTGACCTATTCTGTCGCAGTTGTTCTCCATCTCTTTCCTATGTCTGAGGTACATGGGCCAGACGTGTCCGTCAAACAGGCCGGGGGGGTCAGGGACCGTGTACGTCCTCGTACTGTGGAAATATAATCGATATCATCACATCTTGGTCTTTTGGTGCGGAACACGTACCTTGAACCTGTCACAGTCACTCCAGTTCAGTCTGTTACCTCCTCCTCCTCTTGCACTCCTCATAAGGAAGGGAGATGTAAAGGCACTTGTCATAGACGTCGATGAGAGGCCTGCAGACGGAGGGTGGAGTTAGTGAAAAGCTCACAGGTCAAGAGGTGAATCTGTCGGTGAAACGGTGACCCACTTGTAGTTGTAGATCAGAAAGCCCTCAATGATGAGGATGTGGATCCCTCTGTCTCCAGAGTCGGACTCCTCGGCTTCAGGTGACAGGCTGACACCGTGCGAGCGGGCGAACTTGACCGGGTTCTCATGCCAGCCTTTCACAGTACTGATCATCGCCTCCATGTCCAGGGCGGAGATCACTGATGTGGAACAAGGAGAGAAAAAAAGAGCAGGTTTCACCACACACGCAAAGAATCCATCTCCTTCAATTAGTCACGACTATCTGTGAATGTCGTTAGCATTCACAAAACAGATCAAAAAGTTTTTACAATTTTTAATTTTTTTTTTTTTACCAAACTATTGAAATGTGCATGAAAGAAAAAGTACATTACTGCATGGTTTTCCTACGCGAAATCCATTCTTACCATCCCACTGTCTAAAGCCGTCCTCCCCGACTTCTATTTGATCGGGTTTCTGAAACAGTCACCAATAAAGAATTGCTGCAACCTAGTAACCAGTCGGAGCTGATCACACCTGGACAGGACAAGTCAAGGACTCGTCTCCACCAAAAGTGGCACACGTGGACTTTTTTGTGCGGGAAAAGTGCAGATATCTAACTGCCTTAATATTTCATTCATGTCGGTGTTAGAAACGTTCAATGTTTCGCTTTTTTAAATTTATTAAAAGGTTTCAATATTTTCTGCCGAGATGTTTAGTATCTTCTGCGAGTGCATTCACCATTTATTCAAAGGTTTCAATATTTTCTGCCGAGATTTTTAGTATCTTCTGCGAGTGCATTCACCCAAAAACATTTTTGGTTCTCACCCAATTGGTTTTTCTATGAACGCATGGTTTTGTGCTGATAGTTGGTTTGAACGACCAGTTCCTAAATGCAGCACGAGAAATTGGTTGAGTTACTAACTAAAAAAAAAATTTTTTTAAATTTAAAAAATATAAATTAGTAAATAAAGTGCTGTTAATGCTCATACATGTTGGCCTCAGAATTTTTGTTGGACACTTTCAGTGGGGACGCTCGATCCGTTGATGGGCTGTCCAGGAAACAATCAGCCAGATGTATTACTAGGCTACTGCCATGACAGGACATCTGCAGGTCAGACTGTCAGATCACTGACTAAGGCTGTGTTAAGATTGATATGCTAAATCAAATATTTGAATTAGCTTCAAAACAATCTGTGGCGCTGAAGTTACTTTTTCAGTTGGCTCACAGTCGAATGAAACAGTTGACCCTGACGGTGACCTACCTTAAAGAAGTCATCTTGATGCACAACACAGCAGTTGGGTAATGTCTTTATCAGTCTGTTAGTCAAAGTGGTCTTCCCACCGTTGGTCACTCTGGAATAAAGAAAAATACACTTTTAATCCATAAATATTCAAAAGATTTTCCATTTTTAATCAAATGGATTTGTGAGATTATTCTTCAGATTCAACTCACCCTCCAATGCCAATGATAAACTTCATTTTCACTTCTCGTTTCTGTTGGTCACCTCTGGAATTCAGTAAATAAAAGAAGGGAACGCAGCCAAGCACACGCCGAAGGTTTCTAAATGAAAACCTGTCCTTCTCCTCTGCAGCCGTCGGTCGTCCCCTCCTTTTACTACTTCATTGATAGACAATCTCCTCACCGGCATATAAAGGATTTAGGCCGCAGCGTCACACCCTCTCAGGCCAATAAGCCCGCTCTGTCCCGCGGCCAGTGAGCTGTCACTTCATATCGCGGTGCACCAATGACACGGGGCGGATGAAGGACCCCTCCTCCTCCTCCTCCTCCCTCCCACATATGCATGAAAGCAGATCCCTGATTTTCCACCTGCTGTCTGGGAGGCTGCTGTGAACACTGGCCAACTAAATACAGGACAAATCCCAGATCCAACGTTGTCAGAAGATAAGAGAGGGACAGTGATTTGGTGAAGCTGTCGGACATAAAATTAATGGTTTTAATAGACAGAGCAGCAGACGGACGGATACAAAGAAAAGAACCAGACTGGAGTTTCTTTACTTTAGACACCGCCCCTAAAAACCTCAAACTTAGAAATACTTTAGACTTTGACCTGAAAAATTGATTTGGACATTTAAAGACATTAAAAACAAGATTATTTTATTTTATTAACTCATCTTTAAGCTTGGTTTTTAATCTAAAAGCCTATAAGTTTAATGTAAATCTAAAGATTATGCATCCTCTGCCACAGTCAGTCGCTCTTCCTCGAGACACTCCTATTCCAGGATAAAGGGGAGAAAAACGGATTTTGGAATGAAGTTTTTTTCCACACCTCTGGGTGGGTCACAACCAGAGGCTCTATTTTTAGCCGGCTGTTGTGTGTGGGCCTGCTGTGTCACACATATTTCTGATGCAACCCACTGGAGTGTGAGCCATGTGACCGTGGGGTCTTGACTCATAGCTGTAGGTCTGAGAGCAGCGCCCCCTGTCTATGAACTAAGGAGACCAATCATTACTTATCTGTAGTGTTTTTCACTCACTGGTCATCTAATGTCAACAACAACAACACTCACTCTTAAGGAGACACACACATTTTTCTACTTTTACTCAGGATAAGTTTCTTCTGCTCTAATGTTGTTAATGGTCAAACACTTTACTATTTTGGTCAAAGAAGTGTGATTACAAAACTGCCCCACATACAGTATGCACGGAAACACTATAGGACAGCAGGACATGTGGTTCACATATGATATTCCTCTGGGGACCATAAGAAACACAAACCTTTACTTGACCCGTTTGGATACGAGTGTCGTTTAAACTGAGGTACACACGGAGACAGTGTCTTTTTAGGGCTTTAAGGGGTTCATATTTAGAAGAAAGTGACAGACACAGATTCTGTGTCATAATTAAAACTTATAGTTTTTTGTTTGTTTGTTTTTTTTTCTTGAATTTTTTCCCCCTAAATAATTCCATCATTTATCTTTGGCTGCATGGGTGGAGTTGGTCAGAAAGATATTGTATATTTACCTGATGGAAACAGACAGGTCAAAGGTCAGGAGAAAAGACTGGTCACAGCCTTTTATGGTGATTGGTTAAAGGACTGACGAGGTGTGCGTGGCTTGTTGAACTCTGAACAAACTGAATCTAAAGTTGTTTGGTCTTAATGAAGTTTAATTTAGTTTTTACAAACATGTTTGTAACTGTATACACAAAAATTAAGTTCTTATTTAAAAAAATAAAACCTTGAGGGTCATGAGGACCATAACATACCGATTGAAAATAAAGCACCAACCCCGACCCCCCCGTCTGAGAGGTGGCGATGACATAGTTGTTAAGAACGTATTGCTGTTCCACCTTGTGATCACAATAAGCCTGCATATAAAAACAAAGGTCACCTGAAGTCCATTTAGAACAACGACCGTCAGCTGACATCATAACCTGCTCTGGTAAAGGAAGGATGACAATGTTATTTTATATTTATTACTTTTTTTTTTTTTACAGTAAATGGCACATTTCATAAATAACACATAAATCAATCCATCGTCTCTGGTCCAAAAACTGTTTCCTTCTTGTTCAGATGAACTTTTTTTCCAACCTGTAAAAATGTGTTCTAGAACATTCAGGTGCTGAACGTTGACAACAACACAGGGACAGAGAGAGGAGAACAGGAAGATGATGACATCATCTGTCCATGAAACACTGAAACAGATTTGCTCTGGCAACATCCAATAAAACATCACTGTACACTCTCTCTCTCTGAGGAAACACCCAAAGGCCACGCCTCTCAAATGTCAATCTGTGGCTCAAAAATACATTTACATTATTTACAGATTGTTCCCAGCTTTAAGAAGTGGTTCTTATTAAAGTCTAACGTCATGCTGGAGATAAGGGTCATGCACGAGACTCCATTAGATGTGAGTTTGGAATGATGTTCACTCTTGAATCCAGACAGGAAGTGTGATCCTACAGACGGCCGCTGTGCGTTGAACGTTCCCGACCTCCTGATGAATTTGGAAAAACAAAGAGCAAACTGGTTTCATTCGTTGATACTTTGCATCATCTAAACGTTTTTTGTAAATATGACAAAACATACTATAAAACTGTCAAAATGATTACGTTAATCATATTAATTATTCCTAATCCTTTAGGCAGAATGACATGTTGTTATTGGTCCTCAGTTGTTTATTAGGTCGTCAGGTCGTCAGGTCACGGTTTGGTATTCACTTCACCAACTTAAATTCCTTTGGACTGTGGGAGGAAACCAGAGTGTCCACTCTCCATACAGGAGAACCATCTGTTACAGTTGGGCCTCGAACTGGTGATCTACTTTCTGTAAGTCAAGAGCACTAAACACATCTCCACCGAGTGGCACTCAACCTAGTTCTACAAAGCCCGCCATTGACTAACAAGTTTGGCTGTGGCTGCAGCGTTAAATCTTGGCAGGGTCAGATATCCAATCTAACATAAGTGAGTTTCCCGATTCATTTTTCTCCGGTTTCTCGGGCTGGCACGTCGTCAGGACACGCTGTCTCTGTCCATTCCTGGCATGTCAGCGTGCAGTCCCCTGGCTGATGGCCCTCTTTGATATATGGAGGTCCATAGAAAGAGTCAGCAGCTTAGGACAGCTCAGAGGGAGGGGGTGGGTGGTGGGGGGCTTCCAAAATAACCCTCGTCCAGTGCCGGGCTGCTGTGGCAGATATTTCTCCTGATTTTAGGAACGGCTCGGAGCAGAGCGGATCAATTTGCCGGATCTGGTTTGACATTCCATCAGAAAATAGAATTGATTGGTTGTGACCAGTTTCAAAAGAGCAGCAGCTGTGTTTTACGTAATGGGCCAACGGGGGGTTGGGGGGGCGGTGGGGGGGGGAGTATGATTTACAGAGATCATTTAACAATTCTTGGACCAAGCCTCAATTTAAAAGAGAGAAACATGACTTTGCGGAAATAAAGCTGAGCTGGATGAACAACAATAACACCATCTGACCTCAGCAGCAGCAGCAGCAGCAGCAGCAGAGTCGTCTCTGTCAGACTTTAATTAAGGACTAAAACAAACGCCTGGAAACCATTTACGTGATTAAAAAAAAAAACCCCACAAACTCATCCTCAGTTTCTCCCTGAGACCCAACACTCTGGACCTTTGAACGGTGACCCCACTCCTGACAGAGTTCTGTCCCACAGCCCCAGTGATCTACTGCATCTATACTGCAGGAGTCAGTGAACAGACAGAGAACTTTTCCTTATGTCTAAGATATTAGTTACAGTGGGTTGACATTACAAACCAGGCTGGACGACTACAGTACTGGGAGAGGGAGACGCCTCACCTTAATGTCAGATGTCACAGCCAACCTCTGCTATCACTGACTTTGGCCTGGAAAGACAGGAATTAGAACGAAGCCATAAATACATTGCTTGGTCATCTCAGCCCTGTATGGGCCTGGGTGTTATGTAAACTGAATCAATCAACATGACAGCTGAAGTTCATGGACTGAAAAATGTTATCTTTGGATTTGATAGCAAGTTTTTTTAATTGCATTTTACCCTGTTTCTTTAACATGTATTAACTGAATTCATTTGATGTTGTTATATATATTGCAAAATGTCTTCACCTGTTTGGGCAGACTGAAGTTGGCGTGCTGCTGGTCTTGCTGCATCCTGTAAAAAAAAAACAAAACCAGTAGTAGTTAATATAAATTATATGGCATATTATAAACCTCACATCAAATGAAAACCTGACGCCTCACCTTTGTCTCTGTGCTCTTATCTTCTCCTCCTCATACCTTCAACAGGTAAACAGAACTGTCATTACGTTTACATGCTTCCGGTTTTGAAAAGATTTATTTTTAACATTTCTAAATAAAAAGATCATTCATCTTCATTTTGAGCTGTTTTGAATACATACTTGAAATGAGAGCAAACATTAAATGTCTCGTTCAGTAACCCTGACGCATCATACAGCGTTAAAACATTGACATCTAGTGGCCGGGGTACTTACTGTAGCACACACTCAGGGATCTGCACGTGCTCCATTGGGATAATATTGGCGAGTTCTGCCAATGTGTGGACGTAGCGGATTTTATCCATGAACTTTACACTGAAGGAGACACGGAAAACAAACACGGTGTGCAGGGCTGGAGGACACCAAACTACAGCTAAACTATATTTGAAAATATGAATTATGAGAATTATAAAAGATGTGATTTTGAAGCTGTTATTGCTGCTATTCCTCACCTTATAAAAGGTCTGGAGATCCCACAAACACATCCTCACCTTATAAAAGGTCTGGAGATCGCCAGGACCGTGCGGATGAACCAGGTTGGGTGAGCGATGATGAGACACTTGAGGTTCTTCTTCAGTCTGTGGGAGACATTCAGTTGTTGTTGGTGACAAAGGAACATGCATTTCATCTTTATCTTTATCTTTTCTTTTTTCCACCTACTTTCTGTCAATCATCTGATAGCATCTCTTCAGCCAGCTGATTCCAGGCATCTTCCTGCGAGGAGTTCCTCCGTTCAGGTAAATGATCATGTAATCTTCTGCCACCAGAAGCTCCAGGCTGCTCACGACATATCTGAGAAAAGAACAAATGAGCTCATGTCGCTATGGAATTAAAGTTGGAATAAAGTTGACGTCAAGGGAACGTTGACAAAAAAAGAAATCATGCTTATGCTAATGCTGAGACGTGAGAGACAAGTTAGATTCTCACAGGAAGAGGTTCTCCATGATGTAGGTGTAATCTTCACAGCTGCTGTCAGGGAGATAACAGGCTGCAAACACAATGATGGCATTCAGTCCCTCACCATAATAACCTGAAACAGGAAATAGAAAGACACGCAGGTGTGACTGCAGTTTGTCTCCTGTTTCATCTGTGAAGTCTCATCTTCACCTTCTTCCCCTTTCTGTGCATCAATCTATCAACTATTTGAACATTTAAACTACAGACTCTAACTAACTCACCTCCATGTGTGACAGCCCTCAGGTACGGCCTGATGACCTGCATGTCGATCCTTTGCTCCTGATCACCGATAATCACGGTTCTCCACAGTCGACCCGCCGAGTCTCGCTCTTCTTCACTTTCTCCTGGAAGACGTTTGGCCGTGGCCACGGGTGTATCATCTGGAGTCAAAGTAACAAAGGTAATAAAAGGTGCTGGTCAACATATTTGACAGAAAAACCCACTGGTGAAGTCCCATGACACTAAGTAGAACTACTGTATACGTCATACTCTCCGTCCCTCGTCCTCACCTTCCCACTCCAGCTCATTTCCATTGGTAATGAACTCCAGTGAGTCAGTATCGTCAGGGGTCGCGACGTCGTCCACACTGATGTCCAGGTCATTGTTTGTTTCCAGAAGGTCGTCGGTGAGCACTGAGCCCTCACTCTGATCCAACGACAAGTTCATATCCGGGGCCACCAGGGTGCGACGTTTGTGATGGACCGCTGAGTCGCCAACATTCAGAGTGGTGGGAGGATCTACAGTACAACAACAACAACAACGGCAGCAGGGTGGGAGTACAGTACAGTACAGTACAGTACAGTACAGTACAGTACAGTACAGTTCAAATGTTGTATTCTGCTGTGTGATGTCAGTTACTGTTTCTGTTGTCGGTGAGGCCACAGGAAGAGTCAACATCGCCATCTTCTGGCAGTGGCCTACAATCAAGACATACAGACAATAAACAAAGGCGTGCAGAGCTGAGGTCGCGCACCTGCTGTTTAAACCATAGAGTCGGATACTTTTGCAATTTACATATCTTGTCTTTGGGAATAATAATAAAGTTTGCAATTAACATATCTTGTCTTTGGGAATAATAATAAAAGATTTCCATTTAATATTTTTTTGTATTCATTTTCTGTAGAGTTTCCCTTCAAAATAAAGGTATTAACTTCCTGCGTTTTCTGTCGAGTTTTCCTTCAAAATAAAGGTATTAACTTCCTGATGTCACAGTGCGTTATTGTTACTGCTGGTCGTGGTAGTACTGTAGTAATAATATAGTGTTGTTTTCTTGCTATTTTTAGCCAACCAATAAAATACACCGTGTGAACTAAATACTGTTGGCATCTGTTAAAGAATCAAATATATCTGATCAATCGTAGAACAGTTATGGTTTTGCTCTGTGCCTCTGACAGTTCTGCAGCAGTCGTGTTATTGTACCAGCACTGACTCTTTAGAAACAGTCAGAAGAGCCTGCACTCTAACATTAACGTCAACCAGAACACATAAATCCTGCTGTTAGCACTGGAGAACAATGGTTCTGTAAAAAGACACAAACACATTCACACACGTTAAATACCAGCCTGCCTGTACGGACAGAGCCCACACGCCCTCCAACACCACATGCACAGGCCTGCTGGTGGCATCGTTGCTGTAATTGCTGTTATTAGGCTGCCAATGGATTTATACAAGTAAAAAAAGAGACAGCGTTCCCAGACACGGCATTTCTGCAGATGCTGTGGATACAAATGCATAAGAAAAGAAAAGGAAAATAATTTCTCTCTGCTGGTCCTTACCTGGGGAAGTCCTCATCCTGCCACTCATCCTTCACCTCCATGTTGTCCATGTGTAGCGCGGCTCCTGAGGTCGTGGGGTTGACCTCCGCTCACTGAAGTAAGAACAACATAGAAAACAATCTGTGTTTAGTCCAAGAACTGCTGGTGGAACATTGTTGAACGTGCAGTCGCAGCAGATGTACCGCTCCACCTATCCCACATCTTGAGCAACTCAGGTGAGCGACTTAGTACAAAAGGCCTGTTTTAGAGCAACAATAGGTGTGGCTTTGGAACGATGGAGGTGTTTGTTGGACAGGGAGGGTCTAATGAAGTACAGTAACCAGGTGTGGTGTATTACAGACGGTATCGTTGTCAGAGGTGAACCACCGTCTGTGAGCGTCTGCCAGCATAAATGAATCTGTTTTTTCACCATCCTCATCATCCTAAGGCAGGAGATAAAAATAAAGCCCTCACACTCCACCGTGAACAGTCCTTCACGGTGACTTCAAACATAAATCATACATGACACAGTTAGCAGCTGCAGAGCAGTGAACTTTTATCATTTAGCCTGAAGGCGTCTCAGAATCTCCACCACCTCACCTCAAAGATGGGAACGTCGTGGTGTCACACTGAAGGCACATCTGGAAAACACAGTCTGGAGTGTGTGTGAAGGACATGTGTCCTAGTCTCTGTCTCTGTCCCAGTCCGAGTTCATGCTGCAGCAGATGTTTCTGTTCACTGACACGGCACTGATGTGCAACAATGAAGGACGCATCAGAGCCCACACGGAAAAAAAAACACGGAAACGTTGATCATAAAAGCCACGGCCCCGAGGCTGATGGGACAGGACTGGATGTGGACCCGCAGTGAGTTTAGACACACATATATATATGTAGGATGAAAGAACTCAGTCTTTCAAAACTGTGAATTTGTCAGGATTGTCAACGCTCTCTCTCTAAAGTATTTACTGTATGTTAATGTCTGAGGAGGTCGACACGGGTCGACCTACGCCAATTAACCTCTTGTCCAGAGTCAGATGTGTCTCGTGACTCCTGCACGACATCATTGTAAATGAACGGAGCGGATCCCTCAGTTAAATAAAAACTGACAAACCTTTATCTTTAAGGCTGATGTAGAAGGTGGTGAAGTCACGATCCTCTGACGGGGACGTGTTTCTTGTTTTTTTTCTCCTCCTCCTCAGATGTCACGTCCTGCTGTTCAAAGTGGTCTGATCACAGGGAGCATCATCACCGTCAGCAGCTGCAGGTGGGACTTTATCTGATGTTCTGATAGAGTGTGTGTGTGTCTCCTGCAGAGATAAGAGAGAGTTGAGAAAAGACAAGGTCATTACACAGTGAACGGGGGTCCCTTCATCGCCCCCCCCTCCCTCCTCCTGTACATTACCTTTCCTTATGACACAGAATCCTCACCCACAGATCTCATCTCCTGTCCTGCCGATCAAACTCCATTTCTCTGACTCTCATCTACTTTAACTGACTCCCTCTCTACCCTAACCCCTCTGCCTGCTCTTCCTCCAGCCCCGCGCTCTAATCCCGCTGTGATGATGTCACTGTGAAAGAACTGTGTTATGAAGTTATGTAATCTCACATGACAACCTTCCTCAGTGGAGTCCTCTCAGGCTGCTGGAGTCACGATCGTCCGTCGTCCGCGTCCTCACTCCAGTCCTCTTTATTTTCATGATGCAAAAGATTTTTTTTTTATTTAAAAAAACAAGAGGGAAAAAAAAAAGGATCTTTCTCTCATCGCTGTCGCCTGGCAACAGCATCCATGCCCCCCGTCTCTCTCTCTGTCTCTCTTTCTCCCCCTCTCTCTCTGACACAAACACAGTCACGCAGCTCATACCTCTCTTACTTTTTCCACACCATTCATTTTAAGCCCTCTCACCCCAGATGAAACTCCTCCTCCTCCTCCTCCTCATCATCATCATCATCATATGCCCCTCCCACCTCCTTCATGTTTAGGTCAGAGGCAGATGATGCCCACCGCCTTTCTCTGTCCTGCTGTCAGTAAAAGGGGGGGGGGGGGGGGGGGGGTCATCAGTATATATATTTGTCACATACGTCCTCTGTCTTCGTTAAAATATAAATCTAAGAAATATCTAAAATAACAAAGCAAAGTGTCGGAATCGAACATTGCAGAAATGAGCTCGACTTAAGATACGATTAGATTAAAAAGTTAGTCTCAATACTTTATATTACATTAGTGTTTGTGAAACCACTAGAGTTGATAAGTTATAGCTCATTGTTTGGTTTTATTTGTTTAAAAGACAACATTCAGTTTCCTCTGTAATGTTTAAGCAGGACATTCAGCATATTCCTAGTTCTGCCTCCATAAAATGCAGCATCATGAAGTACTGTATATAACTCTACTCTATTTATACATGTACTGTACCGTACTGTCTGTACCTTATGTGCCACTGAGCCACTAATACTCTTACCACCAGGTGGCAATAGAGCGTTACCCATCCAATACAGTAAGAGAAGCAGAGCAAAACTACGTGTAATTTTATTATAAGGCAGAACATTTGTCCATTTCAAGTCTAAAAACATTTATTTCGTTCATTTTATTTATTTAATTACAGTACATGTAAAAGAAAACTGATTTCAGAAGGCAGAATTTCTGTCAAGAACGCTTCTACCCCTCTTGAAAAAAAAACAATAAAGAAGACAAAAAATATAATGCTGAAAATTGTTGTTTTTAGCATTAAACACATTTTATAAAAAATAAACGAAGCTCAAAACATGTAACAACCATTAAATTTCAAAGGTAACAGTGAAGTAAATATCTATTTTAAAAGGCCACATTTTTAACCAGATAAGGTAACAGTGAAGTAAATATCTATTTATGTAAACATTTTATTCAAAAATATGTATGATTTTGTCAACAACCACCGCAAATAACAGATAAAATTCACACGTTTTCACATTAGGCATTATTTTTTTCACTGTTTATTCTAGAGAGGTATATCAGCTACTGTACTCCTGTGAACAAGAATGTAAACTTTCCTTGAAGAAGTCGAACACCTTCACATTTCCTCATATTGTCTCTGGGTGTTAACATTCTAACTGCTTCATCTTCATCTTCATCATCTCCTCACACCTGCAGCTGCGCGTCCTCCTCTGCAGACCTGCTCCTTTGCAGATCACGTCTGGACAGATGCTGCACCACACCAACGCCGATGCAGTCTCCCAGGACGTTGGTGGACGTCCTCATACGCTCCCTGTCATGGAAATCCCAACCAAAATCAGAGCAGATGTTGAAGTGTGAGGTCAGTGACATTGAACATTTGTTCAGGTTTATTACTCAGTATTTTCTCCTGGTTCTAATTCCATGTTACTGTGCACTTACAGCATCCAGTCCACGATCATGAGGAGTGATATGTTTTCAGTGGGCAGTCCGAGGGATGACAGCACGATCAGCAGGGACACAATGCCAGCCTGTGGGATACCAGCTGTACCAGTGCTCACAGCTGTGACGATCAGACTGAACCAGAGAAAACACTGTTGTTAATAATGCAAATGCAAATTAATAAAAAGAAAATGATTTGAACAGACACTGCCCTCCAGCCCCAACAGGTGGCAGTAAAAGGCTGTAAACGATGTAGTAAAACCTGCTGGCAGCCCCAACAGGTGGCAGTAAAAGACTGTAAACGATGTAGTAAAACCTGCTGGCGGAAGAGGGAACTAAATGGCAAAACAAGTAGTTTCCTCTTCCCCCTGCAGGTTTGTTTTTT